TGGGGACAGCACCAGAGCCCAGCCAGCTCCCCAGCAGGGTCCTGGATGAGTCCTACTATCAGCCCCTGGCACTCTGCTGGCCGCATCCACTGGAGCAAACTGGTGGGTTTTAGTATTTCCAGGAGTGCATTTTGCCAAAGCTGGCATTTCTCGGGGGTATTCCTGCTGTAGGAGCTGCCTGGCACAGTCCCCACTCCTGGGGCATGGCTTTGGGCTGGCCTGGGCAGTGCTGGCACTGGTTGGGCTCACTGGGCTTTTCCCGCTGGAGCCTCCCCTCGTGCTGTGGCTCCAGGGAGCTGGCAGGTGACACCCAGAGGCAGAGCCACTCTGCAGTGCCCTGCCAGCCCCACAGGCACACGCCCTGCTGCTCCTCTCACTGCCAGCACAGCACAGCCACCTTCCACGGCTGCCCCAGCCCAGCACAGCCCAGCAGGACATGGCCAGCCCTGCCCCTGACCCCTTCCCTGTCCCTGTCCCTGTCCCTATTTCTGTCCCTGTCCCCATCCCTGTCCCCATCCCTGTGTCCCTGTCCCCGTCCCTGTCCCTGTCCCTGCCCTATCCTGTCCCTGTGCCTGTCCCTGTCCCTGTCCCTGTCCCTATTTCTGTCCCTGTCCCCATCCCTGTCCCTGTCCCTGTCCCTGTCCCTGTCCCTGTCCCTGTCCCTGTCACTGTCCCTGTCCCTGCTCCTGTCCCTGTCCCTGTGTCTGCCCTTGTGCCTGTCCCTATCCCTGTCCCTGTCCCTGTGTCCCTGTCCCTGTCCCTGTCCCCATCCCTGTCCCTGTCCCTGTCCCTGTCCATGTCCCTGTCCCTGTCCCTGTGCCTGTGCCTGTGCCTGTGCCTGTCCCTGTGTCCCTGTCCCTGTGCCTGTCCCTGTGCCTATCCCTGTCCCTGTCCCTGTGCCTGTGCCTGTGCCTGTGTCCCTGTCCCTGTTCCCTATTCCCTGTGTCCCTGTCCCTGTTCCCTGTTCCCTGTTCCCTGTTCCCTGTCCCTGTCCGTGTCCCTATCCCTGTCCCTGTCCCTGTCCCTATTTCTGTCCCTGTCCCCATCCCTGTCCCTCTCTCCTGGACAGACGGTGTGCAGGCAGGACAGGGCACACCCAGCGGGCTCTGGCTGAGCCATGGCTGCAGCAGCTCCCGGGCACCCGCGCTGGTCCCACAGGGCACTCGTGCCCTCCGTGTGGGACTCCCGTGTCACGGAGGGCCCAGAGCCAGGGCAGTGCCCCAGGACAGGCTGGACAGGTCTGCTGGAAGGTGTCCCTGCCCTTGGCAGCGGGGTGGAACTGGGCAGTCTGTGGGGTGGAACTGGGCGGTCTGTGGGGTCCCTTCCAACACTAAACATTCTATTTTTCTAAGGCCTGGCGTGAGCTCAGCCCTGATCCTCAGAAAGAGCCTAACTTCAGGTGTGCAGTGGGAAAAAGGCAAGGCTTGTCTCCTCACAGCCGCCGCCAGGGGCTGGCCCTGCTGCTGTCAATAGCTCATGTGTTTGTCTTTTGTCTTGCTGATGGGCAATAATTTTCCAAGCGAGCTCAGGGAGCAGTGACTCTTTTATTAAAACTAATAAGGGAGGGAGGCACAGGCCTTTAAAAATCACTCAGGAAATTATTGCTGACAAGTCTTTCTTGCCTCACCCCTCAGAAGGAGCGTGGTGAGGAGTGAGGATGCCCTGCATGACATCAGCTCATGGATTTGCTGCCATGTATGCTCAGGACCCCCAGGTTTTACAGCGTCCTGCAGCTTCACTGGAGGTAATAGAAGCTCCAAGTGTGCATGGTTTCAAATGTTTAATTTTGTCTAAATATGGCCAAAATCACATACCAGGGGCATAAACAACTGTGGAACATTTTGGGTGCTTTTTAGCACCTGCTCAAGTGCTAAAAATACAAATCCTGAGAAAAAGTGGAAACAGCTCTGCCGATGTAAAGAGGGAAGAACCAAGTGCTGGTGCTGCTCCTGGACACATCACCCACAGGTGGGTTTGCAGGGTCCCTCTTCCTCCAGCTGTGTGACAAGGACAAAGCACAGTGCAGCCAGAGCCCCCCCTGCCCTGGTGCAAACCTGCCCTGCTGTGTCCCAGGCAGCTGCACCACCCAGGAGAGCAGGGATCTGCAGCTCCCAGCCAGCTCCTGGGCTGCAGGAACCACAGCCTAACAGAGACCGAGCTTTTCTGCAACCAGAGCAAAAACCTCACCCACCCCATCAAGACTGCATCTCCTGATCTCAGACATCTCTCAAAAAATCTTCCCTTGGCCCAGCACAGAGCCCTGTCCCTGGACGGGTGGTTCATTCCCTGCACAAATCTGGACCGTATTCCAGTCTGAATTCATCCAGGTTTTGCTCCCCACTGCTGCCCCTCAAGCCCCTTCCCTTCCCAGGGGGTGGATGATGCCTTTCCCCTCCCGGTGTTGCCCTGTCCCACCCCCTGAGCCCTGTCCCGGGTGGGAGCTGTGCTGTGGGGGCTCCTTTCGGGCCACCCGTGGCCGCCTGCTGCCGCTGCAGAGCCAGCAGGGGCCCGAGGCTGCAGCTCCAGGGCAGCGCCGAGCTCTGCCCGTGCTGCAGCTCTGCTGCACCACCGCAGGAACCTGATGGAGAAGATGGGGAAATGACAGGAACACCGGCTCCTTGCCAATATTGCTGCATTTTGTGCTATTAGAACAGTCTTCTGTGGAGAAACGACCACGGCTGCGTGTGGCCTCATCCGTTTCCATCCCGAGCGGGCAGCAGGAGCACTGCCCCTGTGCCCCAGTGCTTCCCTGCTCCGGGCAGCCATCCCATCCCACCCCATCCATCCCATCCCATCCCATCCCATCCATCCCATCCGTGACCTCAGCCACACCAGCATCCCGAGGTCACACCGGTGACACGAGTGGCAGCAGGTCTCAGCCTGCCCCAGTCACATCCTTCCAGGACAGCAGCTGTCTGTGTTCTAATGACCAGGGACACAGTGGCATCCATGGAGAGAATGGCTAGGAAAGGAGGAATAGGAGGAAAAAGAGGAGGAGAAAAGAAGAAGAAAAACAGGATAAAATAGAATAGACTTGAAGAAAACCTAACAAATGAAATAAAACCCAAGAAATAGAATGAAAAATAAGATAATGAAAACTAAGGGATAAAATAAAAACTGAGAAGTAGAATAAGGACTCCTGCTCTTGAAGTTAGACTTAAAACCAAAAAGTTACCTTTTAATGTGCCTCTTTTTTCTCCCAGCTTCTCCATGTAGCTAAATTCAACTGATTTCATTCTGCTCCAGTGCTTCTCCCCTGACCCCTCTGGCTCTTTAACAAACAGTATCCAAATGTGGGTGTTCTTCCCCAAAACACCCGTTCCCTCCTTCACCTGAACTTTTATGGCCAGGAGCCTATGCCATTCTCCGTGGGAGCTATAAATTCTCCTCCTCTAAAGAATCCAGCAGAAGAAGGAGCCCTCTTCACCCAAGGCCACAGATCCTCCTTCACCCTCAGGCCCTGCTGGGTGTAGTTTGCAGAGGAAATAAGTTTAAACATTATTTTTTTTCCCCAGTTCTGAGCATGGCAGAGCAGGGAGTGCCCTGTGAGCACCCCGCAGGATGCTGGAATGATGCCCCAGCTCCCCTGGCACCTCCTGGAAATCCAAACTCACCCCCAGGAGATGGAGCTTCGGGAGTCTCCTGCACCTCCTCGTTCCATAAGTGTAATTACACCAGTGGATTTTTCTCTTTAATCACAGGATGAGCTTTTAAAAGGAAAACAAGCGGGTCCGGCAGGTTCTCGCTATGATGTTTGTTGGGGGATAATTCAATTATTGTAGAAAATTATTTTAAACATTAAGATGCACAAAGTTCAGTTTCCCCTGTTTCTGTGACTATCACCCAAGCTATTGATAAGATGTCTAAATTTATTGCAGAATAATTCTGCAGGAAAAGAGATAAAAGGTTCCTGAATAAAATATGAGGCGAGAGCTGTAAATTGTAGCAATGCATATCATTTCATTCAAATGTAGGAAGCAATTACCATCTGCTATACTCATCAGTTCCCTCCTTTATGACTTAATTATATGTTTAATGCTATCAGATCAAGGAAAGGGCACAATAGATGAATGAGTGAAAGAAACAGAAAAGATTCAGCAACAAGACAAAAGGCAGATGAAAAGTAACCCAAGAACAGAATTGATTTCATTTGTTGGGAGAGGAGTTAATTTAAATAGTATATTCTATCATCTCCTGTGCTGTACTGAGATAATATAAATCATGTGTTTGTGAATTTGCTTCATACAATTTTAACAAAAGCATTCAAGTTTCTGAAAACCCAGGGTCTGCAGGTTTTGATTTATTTATGAAATGAGTAACATTTACAAAGAAAGAGCAGTGAGTGACACCAGAGCATTTAAATGATTATTAACAGCACTTTGCTGTACAAGTACGAGATGACAGAGGGGGAAGCCAACGAGCTCAGCTCCAGCACCTCCTGTCTGGGCTCCAGGACCTGCTGGCATCACCTCCCGTGGGCATGGGGTGGTGAAGGGGCACGGCCACCAGAGCCACCAAAGCCAACACGGCCACCAGAGCCACCAGAGCCACCAGAGCCACCACTGCCACCACTGCCACCACTGCCACGAGCCCCGGGCCAGAGGGCCAGGGAGGGCACAGGGGGTGGTGGCCCTAAGACCCCCCAGGTCCCTCCACAGGGCTGACAGCTGCCCTCCCCCAGCTGCTCTGCTTCGATGGTTCTGGATGTGTCCTGGATGTATCCCTGCACCCTGCACCCTGCACCCTGTATCCCTGTACCCTGTGTCCCTGTATCCTGTATCCCTGTATCCTGTATCCCTGTACCCTGTATCCCTGCATCCTGTATCCCTGCACCCTGCAGCATGTATCCCTGCACCCTGCACCCTGCACCCACCCTTCCTGCATCCTGTATCCCTGCATCTGGCACCCCTGCACCCTGTATCCTGTATCCCTGCACCCTGCAGCCTGTATCCCTGCATCCCTCCATTCTGCATCCTGCACCCTTCTGACTATACGTGCCCATGGAGGAAGGTAATCATGGCATAATGCAATTTGCTTAAATATCACATGGTGGGGTTAGAGCACAAAAAAGGACGCGATCTCCTGACAGAGCTCAGGTGATTTAACTGCCCCCAGGATCAGCAGAAGCAGTGGGGCTGGAGCAAACCCAGTGGGATGGCTTCCCAGAGAGCTGGGGACAGCTGGAGTTAGAGGTACAGCCAAGGGACACCCCTGTCTGGCACTGCACGTGGAGAGTTAAACACCATGGGCACCCAGTGCTCCCCCGAAAGAGCAAAACAAGCCAGGGCTTAACGCTTCTCACTTGAGGTCTGAATGCACATTTAGATTAGATATTAGGAGGAAATCCTTCCTGTGAGGGTGGGCAGGCCCTGGCACAGGTGCCCAGAGTGGCTGCCCCTGGATCCCTGGCAGTGCCCCAGGCCAGGCTGGACACTGGGGCTGGAGCAGCCTGGGACAGTGGGAGGTGTCCCTGCCATGGCAGGGTGGGATGGGATGGGATTTAATGTCCCTTTCAGCCCAAACCATCCTGTGCATCCGTGATTGCCACTGCACAGCAGGGACTTACCGAGGGGTCACCCCCCTGAGGGGGGTGACCCTCCTGCAGCTGTCAGAGAGCTGGACCTGCATCCCTTTGTGGGTACCAACACCAGGGCCTGCCCACACCCTCAGCCTCCGTGTGTGCAGGCAGAGATGTGCTGGGAGGTTCCAGAGAAAGAAAGCAGTTTTGTACTAATTCCCTTAATTTATTCACATCAAATGTCAGTGCAGTGTCATATAAAAGTCTTTTATGATTTTAAAACAAATGGTCCCCGAGGCAGGAAAATAGTTATAGTGCCATTTCTAAAATTAATTTAATTCCTGCGGAATAGAAATAAAAAAAAAAAGTGCCTGCTCGGTTGCACAAGCATCACAAATAGCACTGGAATATTTCCAGAGAGGCTTTACTGGGTGAGCTGCACTCACCCAGGCTTTCCCAGCCTTTTTGCCAGCCCTGGCACTGGGAGCCTCACACGGGGTGGGGGTGAGGGCAGTGTGCCCCCTCCCATCACCTCCTGCCACAGAGAGCCCCCACATTAATCAGCCCCTGCTGCTCCCTCCACAGAGCACCAGAAGCTATTTTATTGCATTTCTCTGCGGCTCATGATGGTCTGTGTCCCCTGCTGTACGTGCACAGGGCAGAACTGCACTGGTGCTCCTGGCTGGAATCCTTCCTCAGCAGCCCTGGGCTGCTCACAGCCGGCCCTGCCCACGGCTCCTGCCGCTGTCCCTGCTCTGCAGCTGCCACGCTGGCTCCACACTGGTTCCACGCTGGTTCCAGGCTGGCTCCACACTGGTTCCACGCTGGTTCCACACTGGTTCCAGGCTGGTTCCACACTGGTTCCACACTGGTTCCACACTGGTTCCACGCTGGCTCCACACTGGTTCCACCGCTGGTTCCAGGCTGGTTCCATGCTGGTTCCACGCTGGTTCCAGGCGGGTTCCACGCTGGTTCCAGGCTGGTTCCATGCTGGTTCCACGCTGGTTCCACACTGGTTCCACGCTGGTTCCACGCTGGTTCCAGGCTGGTTCCACGCTGGCTCCACGCTGGTTCCACTCTGGCTCCACGCTGGCAGAGCTCCCAGGGACAGGCAGTGCCATCCCCAGCTCACTTGTCCCTCTGGCAGGAGGACACACTGCCCTCACCCCAAAGAATCCCAGAATGGGTTGGGCTGGAAGGGACCTTTAAAGCCCACCCAGTGCCACCCTGCCATGGCAGGGACACCTTCCACTGTCCCAGGCTGCTCCAGCTCCAGTGTCCAACCTGGCCTGGGGCACTGCCAGGGATCTGGGCACCCTGTGCCAGGGCTCACCTCCTTCACAGCCAGGAATTTCTCCCTTACATCTAAACAAAATCTCCCCTCCTTCATTTTAAGCTCCTCTCCCTCGTCCTGTCACAACAGGCCCTGTTAAATATTTGTCCCCATCCATTTCATTTCTCCATGGACACTGGTGCCCAAGGGCAGTGCTGGGGAGCACAAAGGTGTGAGATCTCCTGAAAACTGTCAGTATGGATAATTAAAATAAGTCCCAAGCACAAGAAATCCTGTTTCAGTGACTCAGTCCCCACACTCCCCCGCTGCTCCCACTCACCTGCTGCTGCTCAGGCAAAAATGAAGCACTTACGGATTTTTCATGCTTTGTATTTAGGGCTGCACAATTTGTCTCTCCTTCTGCTCATCCAAGGCCACCCCCAGCATGACGGGGTTTGGGAACTGCCAGAGCTGCCTCCAGCTGCCCTGGCCCACCTGGAGCACGGCAGGCTCCGTGCCAGGGAGTGAGGAGGCAAAGGCACAGCCTGCAGTGGGGAGCGCGGCTTTGTCCCCACCACGCAGGGAACACCCGGCTTTCCCTCCCAAGGCGGGGTGCCCGGGCTGCACAGGGACCCCCAGAGCCTGAGACGCTCCCCAGACTCCTCCAGGTCCCACGGGAGGCCAGGCTGTGCATTCCAGCACTGCGGGAGAAGGGATGCGTGCAGCCCAGCCCTTGCCTGGCTGGTAAAACAGCTCAGGGTTCACCCTGTTCACAAAAGCCTTCAGGGAGGATGAGGAAGGAGGGTGGTGCTGTGGAATGCTGCTGGGCAGGGGCTGCTGTCAGTCAGCCTGAGTGATCCCCAAGCTAAACGTGCTGAGTGAGGGCGTGGAGGACAATGCCCCCTGACAGAACCCAGCCCGGCGAGGCTCCTGATAAAGGAACCAGCGGGTCAGAGCGCTGCTGCCTTGCTTCCCTGCACAGCCCTGGGACAGCTGAGCGGGAAACGAGGAGGAGGAAAAGGAATACGAGACTAACCTGGGCGCAGTGAGGGAGACAAGATCGAGGTTTGCAGGAGCTGCTGCCCCCAGAGCCGGGGGATGATGCCCCCGGGTCCCTGCACCCCGTGGGGAGCTGCGGCCCAGGGCCATCCCTGCTCCAAACGTCCCAGTGCTCAGCAGACAGCTTGACAAATTTGGTTTTACTGTTTTGATGTAATAATGTAATTAGGTAAAAGGGTTCAGCAACCAATTGCATTTCACTAATTTCAACCATCTGCTTCAGCACTTGTTCTGTGTGTGCCAGACTTCAGTGTCTTTGCTCTAATAGTAATTAATGAAACTGTTAATAAGCTACATATATCATATCATGCTGCAATAATTTATCAAAGGATAATATTATGAGACAAATTCTATATAACAATTATAGAAAATGGCTTACATTACTAATGCTGCACACTACTCACTAGTTTCTTTACTCTTCCCTTCTTAATGAATTCCCTAATTAATTTAATGCATACGTTATGCATAATTTGAAATTTAAAAACATCGCTGGGTCAGGTTTTAACCATCCTCTTTTACATGCTGCCTGCTTCTACAAGACACATATTAGCAAAACATGACCCCTATGCAAATCAGGGTGCCCGCCGCTGTTCCAGTGCCGGCGACGGCAGCGGCGCTCCGGCACACTCCCGTGCCATGGCAGGGAGCTCCAGCAGAGTCACCAGAGGCACCACCACAGCAAACCCCAACAGCAGCAGCTATTCCAGCCTCTGGTTATGCAACCAGCCCTGCTCTGGGGAGAGCTGCCCTCAATCACGCACCGTGCAAACAGCCATCCAACAGCAGGGCTGTCACCCGGCCCGGGATAACGAGGTCACCTGAAAAATCCAGAAACCTTCCAAAATAGAAATGCCAACTGCAGTCTCTTCATCTTCAGGTTTTTAAGCATCCGGCACACAACTGCACAGCATTTCCCAGCTTTCTGCCTCTACAGCTTTGGGGTTTTCCTGCAGAACATGACTGCAAACTCTTCTTCCACAGTTTCCGTTTTCATTCCAGTCTGACTTCCAGAACAGCACCACACACCCCAGCGGGACAGGGTACTCCAGCTTCAGTGTTTCCTTCAGTGGGGCAGTGGAAAGTGTGACTGCCCACGGCAGGGTGTGGAACTGGATGAGCTTTTATGTCCTTTCCAACCCAAACCATTCTGAGATTCTTGTGCTCCGTGGTAGAAATACAATTTACCAAGCTAGCCAGGCTTTGGCAAGAGATCATTCCCTCATGAATTCTTTTTGGACAATATATTATTTACACTGCTAAAATACTATCTGGAGACCTAGAGTGAGTTATATTAACATTTCCTTATCTTCTGGGACACTTCTGGCTGAAAAAGTGTTGAGTTTTCATCTTCGAGCAAGCTTGCTTCCGCGCTTTTCCATCTGACGCGTCAGATTATTTTAATGACGGAGTACTCGATTAAATTAATTCCTCCCTACAAAAGCAGCTGTCTTGTGTCATGGAATCTGTTCAGCTATCTGGAACATTGGTGCTTGCCAGGGAGGAGAGCCAAAGCGCAGAGTGTGGGGAGGGAGTGCCTGACCACACCGAGACGGCGGCGACTCTGTCACAGCGCGAGAGGCTGAGCCTCAGCGGGGAGACTCGGGTCTCTCCCCGCCCCAGCAGGGCTGGATCTTGTGCCCAGGGATTCGGGAAGAGGCTGCTGGCCTGCCCCACTGGCAGAGGAAGACATTTTCCTCTCCAGTGTGCTGCTCCAGGGGTCCCAGCACACGCCACCGTGTCCCCGTGTGGGTGCTGAGCCCCGCTGTGCCCGGGGCTGAGCCCCAAAACATGGCCCCGGGTTGTGCTGGCAGGGCCTGCAGTGGGATCAGCCGTGCCCCAGGGAGGGTCAGCACCAGCAAGGGGAAAATCCAAACGAAAATGCAAAAATTGTGCCAGCATGGTGAATGAAGCACAGACCGTGTGCGTCAAACTTTTATTTCTAAACAAACGGGATTGTTTCATTTAAGTTCATCTCTTGCTTACTCTCAAGCTGCTGCTCATTTTTTTTTTCCCCTTTAGAGAGTTCTTGCAATCTTATCCTTCCCTCCTGCTTGCTGAGAGTCCTCAGGCACCATCCACACATGCAAGTCCTCCGAAATCAGAACAGCCTGCCACGTCTGAAGGAGTTTGCTTGGCAAAGAAAAGCCTTGGAAAAACAACAGAATGACCATTTCCTTTGTTTTCCATCACACAACGTAACCATAGGCTGGGTTTTGATATTGCTAATTTTTTGAAGTATGAATATTAATGTAATTTTTTCCACTTATTTCTTTGCAATATTCATACACACCACAGTGGGTTGGAGCCCTTTATTTAACAAAATCTCCTGCTTTGGGATTTGGAAACAGTGCATTGCTATTAAATTTATTAATACCAGAGGACTTTAGGCGAGTTTAAGCTAAGTTTAGTAAAGCTGCAAAATACCAGCTCAGACTTTTCTTCTCTCACTTCGGTGCCTCGGAACTTCTCAGAACTGCTGCCCACAGCCCACCCCCGATCCCACAGCTCCTTGCCCCGGCCGTGCCCGGTGTCCCGGCGGTGCCCGTGTCCCCAGGGCACTGCCGGCGCTCCCTGGCCGGAGCCGCTGCCCTGCCCTGGGCGCTGGGGTCCCGGCAGGTCAGCGGCCAGTGCCCGCAGGTGACAGTCCTCGCTGCTGGACGCGGTGGGGTGCCAGAGACCCTCCGAGGTGTGGGGCTGCCCGCTCGGTGCTGTCGCCTCACGGGGCTCAGCCGTGGCTGTCCCGGCACTGCCAGCTCGCCCCGGCACGGAGCATCCCAAACATCCCGGCCCCGCACAGGCTGTCCCGCAGGAGCAGCTTCCCTGGGGGCTCACCGCCTGTCCCCGCACCCAGCGGCAGCCAAGCCCCGGGAACACCGCGGGACTGACGCCTGGGGGAGCCCACGGCTGCAGCCACACAGAGCGGGCTCGCTGGGCTGCCTGGCGTGCTCTCAGCATGCTCTGCACAGCGCACCTGAGCTGCCAGGCTGGAGCACCTGGGGCCGGCAGACAGCCCCGGCCCGCAGCTGCCGGCACTGCCGGGACAGCCAGGACAGCCAGGACAGCCAGCAGAGCTGGCACTGCCGGGACAGCCAGGACAGCCAGCAGAGCTGGCACTGCCGGGACAGCCAGCAGAGCTGCCAGGACAGCCAGGACAGCCAGGACAGCCAGGACAGCCAGCAGAGCTGGCACTGCCGGGACAGCCAGGACAGCCAGCAGAGGTGGCACTGCCGGCACAGCCAGCACTGCCGGGACAGCCAGGACAGCCAGCAGAGCTGGCACTGTCAGCACAGCCAGCAGAGGTGGCACTTGCCAGCACTGCCGGCACAGCCAGCACTGCCAGGACAGCCAGCAGAGCTGGCACTGTCAGCACAGCCAGCAGAGGTGGCACTGCCAGCACTGCCGGCACAGCCAGCACTGCCAGGAATGTCCCAAGAGCTGGTACTGCCAGGACAGCCAGGATAGCCAGCAGAGCTGCCAGGACAGCCAGGACAGCCACAACAGCCTGGAAAGCCACCACAGCCAGTGCAGCCTGGCCTGCCAGGACAGCCAGCACAAATGGCACAGCTGGCACAGCCAGGACAGGTGGCACAGTCTGCACGTCCAGAACAGCGAGCACAGCCAGCCCTGCCGGCAAAGCCTGCCACGTCCCTGCCTGCCGGAGCAGGAGCCCGAACAGGAGCAGGAGGGTGGTTCCCCGCCGGTTCCTTCCTTGGCGTTCTCCGGCTCAGCCCACCGGAGGCTGCCGTGTCCGCCAGCGTGGCTCCCGTGCCCTGTAATTGAGCGGGATGTGAACACACCCACGTCCTCAGCAGCGGCTCAGCCACCGACCAGCTGCCACGTGGAGCAGGGACACGCACGGCCCCCCGAGCCACGGCCCCTCCGCCCCCGGCGGGGACCCCCGAGGCACAAACCCGGGCAGAGACCCCCCAGCCCCATCAGTGATCCCGGGATGTGCCCCCAGCCCCATCAGTGATCCCCAGGATGTGCCCCCAGCCCCATCACTGATCCCGGGATGTGCCCCCCCTAGCCACACCACCCGTCCCCCGTGCTGTCTCCCTCCCCCGAGGCACAGCCCCGCTCCCCCCGGGATGTCCGGCCGGGGCCGGGCGGGTCCCGGATCGGGTTCCAGCGCGGGCGGGTCCCGGCGCGGGGCGGGGCGGGTCAGCCCCGTCCCGGCCCCATCCCCGCGGGACGGGCACGGCGCTGCCCGGGGCCCGGGACAGCGAGCAGCGCCCCTCCGGCACGGCGGGACCCACCGGCCCGGCAGCCCGGAATGCGGGGACCGCAGCCCAGCCTGCAGCAGAGGAGACAAACACGGGACGCGGAGAAACTCCCCCCGAAACTCCCTTCATCCTCATTAGCAACCGGGGGATGAACCTCGCCAGCCCCGCAGCCCCGCGCCGTGGGCCCCACTCTGCGGGGAACGCCACAGGGAGACCTGGAAAGCACAAAGAACTTGCTGACAAGAGCAGCGGCGGTGCCCACGCTGCCACTGCCACTGCTGGGGCCACCGGCGTGGGTGGCAGGAACCGGGCGCTGGGTACGACACCACGAGCAGCTCCTACAGTGGCTGGCACTGGCCAGGATGGGCAGGAGAGGAGGAGAACAGCTCCTGGAGCAGATGGCACTGGCCAGGATGGGCAGGAGCGGCCCCATCCCCGGCCCGCCTCCCGCTCCGCTGGCCCGGGGCTCCCGCGCCCGCCCGGGATGAGCGGGCTGCGGCGGCTGTTCCGCGGCAGCGGGCGGGCCCTGGCCTTCGTGTTCGCCGCCTCGGTGGCCTGGGTGCTGCTCGACATGGCCGCGCTCCGCCTCTCGCTCGGCGAGGCGAGCGGGCGGCTGCTGCGGGAGGCGGCGGGGCGCGGGCCGGGGCCGGGGATGGGGATGGGGCCGGGGATGAGGATGGAGCCGGGGATGGGGATGGAGCCGGGGATGGGGATAGGGATGACGGGCAGGAGCAGAGGAGAGCAGCTCCTACAGTGACTGGCACTGGCCAGGATGGGCAGGAGCAGAGGGAAACAGCTCCTGGAGTGGCTGGGACTGGCCAGGATGGGCAGGAGCGGAGGAGAACAGCTCCTGGAGCGGCTGGGACTGGCCAGGATGGGCAGGAGCGAGGGGGAGCAGCTCCTACAGCTGCTGGGACTGGCCAGGATGGGCAGGAACAAGCAGGGGGCAGCCCGGGAATGCACAGAGTCCTGTCCATGGATGCAACGCTCGCCCCAAGAGACCCCCGAGCTCCCGGCCAGTTTGGACACCCTGTTGTTGTCCCTGATGATAAACAAGAAGAAGCGAAAAGCAGATGGAAAGAAGGAAACTTTAATGTCTACCTCAGCGATCTGATCCCTGTGGATCGAGCCATCGCAGACACCAGGCCTGCCGGGTAAGATCTGCTCCCCCTGCACAAACCCCCGTGGCTGAGCCCTGGGAATGGCTCCGTGGCTCTGGGGAGGGATGCTGGGGGCACACCAAGCCCTCCGCTTCAGCCGTGCTCCCTGTCAGATGGCTTGTGCCTGTCCAGCTCAGAGCAGCCTGTTGTTAAACATAAAACTGTGTGAAGTTTGCACTGAGCCCAGCTGCCCAAGGGGACAGAACAGCCAGCACAGGTGATGGGGCTCGGGCCTCTCTGTGCCTTGGGATGCTGTACCTGGTGTGTGAGGTGCAGCTCTGATATCCTGGTGGGCCAGGTGCAGCTCTGATATCCTGGTGGGTCAGGTGCTGTTCTGATATCCTGGTGGGTCAGGTGCTGTTCTGATCACCTGGTGGGTCAGGTGCTGTTCTGATATCCTGGTGGGTCAGGTGCTGTTCTGATCACCTGGTGGGTCAGGTGCTGTTCTGATATCCTGGTGGGTCAGGTGCTGTTCTGATATCCTGGTGGGCCAGGTGCTGTTCTGATATCCTGGTGGGTCAGGTGCTGTTCTGATATCCTGGTGGGTCAGGTGCAGCTCTGGTATCCTGGTGTGTGAGGTGCAGCTGTGATATCCTGGTGGGTCAGGTGCTGTTGTGATATCCTGGTGGGTCAGGTGCTGTTCTGATATCCTGGTGTGTGAGGTGCAGCTCTGAGCAGTCAGATTTCGTGGGTTGGTTCCCGTGGGTGTGTGAGGGCAGCAGGAGCCCCGCTGCCCAGACCTCAGGCTGCCATGGCCCTTCCCTCGAGGGAGACACCCCAACCCTGCCGGCCAGGGAGCTGCTGTGGCCCACAGAGCCTGCGGGGGACAGCTGAGTGCTGGCACCATCCAGCAGGCACAAACTGCAGAGGCAGCCCGGGGACTCTGCTCCGTGGGCACGTGCAGGGGGGGACGTGGAGCCTGGCTTTGCAGGAGTGTCACACAGCCACAGCCGTCACCCCGAGACGTGTGACTGACCCCGCAGGTCTCAGCCCTGCGCTCCCAGAGAGCCTCTCCCTGCCGGCAGAGGAGAGCAGGGCAAGGCAGGGCAGCGCCTGGCCGACAGAAGGACGGGAGCCTGGGGAGCCCCGTCCTGAGCTGCCGTGCCAGGCGGGCTCGGCAGCGCTGGCTTGATGCTTGCACTTGATGACTTGAAGCTCTTTTTCAACCGAAGCCATTCTGTGGTTGTGACAGCTGCGGGGAGGGAGGGAGGGAGGGAAGGTGCCTGCTCAGGTGAGTGCCAGGTTCCTCTCTTGCACTCAGCCCTTCCCACAAACACCTCTCAGCCCCTGGCAGCTGAGGGACCTGCCCCGTGCAGACCCCCCCCATGTCCCTGTTCCCGCACTCACAGAGCAGGGAGGGGTACGTGGGCTGGGAGTTGTGCCACGAGTGTCCCCGTGCCACAGCACCGTGCAGACATTGCCCCGTGCTGCTGGTGCTGGCTGAGACCTGCACGGCAAGAACGGAGCAGGGAAAGGGCAGACAGCTGGGGCTGCTCCCTGACGCCACCTCCAGAAGCCACCAGCGCACAGGACCTGAGCCACGGTGGCACAAAGCCAGCCCCGGGGCTGCAGAGCAGGAAGAACCTCCGGCAGTGACGCACCTGCCCAGGGGGACACGCTTTGCTGTCACCGGGAACACCTTGGCCAAACAGGGCGAGTCCCTGGGGATGTCAGCGGCTGCCACGGGGCACCGAGCTGCCCCGGGCTCCCTGGCTCTGCCAGGAGCCTGTGCAGGCTCTGTCCCTGGCCCACTGGCACAGCCAGCTTGTAAGGGCCAGCTCAGGGCAGGGGCTGGTGGCAGCTCTTGGCAGCCAACAATGATTCTTTGGTCTATTCCAGTCTGTCCCAGTTTGGACACCGGAGCACTGCACTAGGCACTGGGATGTGGGCAGTCCGTGCCTCTCCGTGCTCAGTGCTCGCTGCTTTTGGAGCTCCACTGGCACTGTGTGCCTGGTGTGGGGGAGAGCACCTGAGGAGGAGTGTGGTGGGCAGGAGCCTGGGGAGCACTCCCTGCAGAGCCTGGATCAGGAGTCCTGAGAGAGAAAGGGAAGAGAAGGCTCCAGGGAGACCTTAGAGCCCCTTCCAGTGCATGAGGGCTCCAAGAGAGATGAAGTGGGACTGTGGGTCAGGGTCTGGAGTGCCAGGACAAGGAGCACTGGTCTCCCACTGCCAGGGGGAAGGGATGGATGGGATATTGGGAGGGAACTTTTCCCTGTGAGGGTGAGGAGGCGCTGGCACAGGGTGCCCTGAGAAGCTGTGACTGCCCTGTCCCTGAAAGTTTGAGGCCAGGCTGAATGGGGTTCTGAGCAACCTGGTTTAGTGGAAGGTGTCCCTCCATGGGAGCCCTTGGAAGGAGATGGGCCTTGAGTTCCCTTCCAGCCAAACTATTCCAGGATTCTGTGGTGAAGGACAAAGAGGGCATGACCCAGTTCTGCTCACCAGCTGGTGAGGCAGGACTGGATCCAAAATGGACTTTTTGGTGTTTTCTGCCCACTGACCTCCCTGAGACAGACAGACACATCTCAAGCGTTGCGACACAGAGTAATTCTGGGGTGAATTTCACTTAGCCAGAGCACTTCTGATTAACTGCAAAGCCCTGAAACACCTCTACATTTCCTTCCAAAGAGGTTCCTGTCAGAACCAAGTGAGTCCCTCCCGACCCATGGGGCTGCCCATGAGGGGGGCCCTGGGGCTGTGTGTGGGGCCCCCCCTCCCCTCCCAGCACTGCAGGGCTTTCCCTCCCTATGCTGGGCATTTCCCCCTTCCCTGCACACTTTCCCAGGAGCACCTGCAGATTTCCAGGAGCGTGCCTGGCCACCAGCTGGACCCTGTGTTGCTGTTGCAGGTGCTCTGAGCAGCAGGTGCACGACGACCTGCCGAGCACCAGCATCATCATGTGCTTTGTGGACGAGGTGTGGTCCGCCCTGCTGCGCTCCGTGCACAGCGTGCTCGGCCGCTCGCCCCCGCACCTCGTCGAGGAGATCATCCTGGTGGACGACTTCAGCACCAAGGGTAGGCGAAGCTTCTGTGCCTTTATGAAACCAATATAACTTGAGGGCAAAATGCAATTTGTCCTCTGTAATTCAATTCCAGCTAGGAGAGAATCACATTTTCTGCCCTGCTGTATTGAAGTGCGTCCCTGGCCTGCACTGGGGCTGGGGGTGATCAGAGGACAGGGGGGTGCTGGGGCTGGCTGTGGGGGATGAAGGCAGAGGCTGCTGGAGCTCCAGGAGCACCAGGGAGCTGCGTCCTGCCTGGCCCATTCATCTTTGGGGAGTCCTGGCTCAAGGGCTTGTGTGATCAGGAGATGCTCCCAGCCCCCAGTGCGCAGCTCCCAGGCAGTGTCCTGTGTTCCCAGTGCAGGGGACACGCTCCGGGGTGGCTCAGAGGGCAGGGAGCTGCAGTGGGAGCAGTGCTGAGCAGGGATCTGCGCTGCACGGGGCCTTCCATCACCATTTCAGCTGGCACCCAGCCCCTGCAGTGTGATGCCTCCACTCTCTGCTGGGCTCAGCCCTCCAAAATCGAGGAGTGGTGCAATTTCCCCACTGCTGCTTCTCAGGAAAGCGCTGTCTCAGGTGGGCTCAGAGCTCACACGAGGAGCTGTGCCCACAGACCTGAGCTCCTGGCGTGCCCGGAGGCGCTTCCAGGGAAAACCTGCTGTGGCTTTTCAGCGTGCCGGCGGCGGCAGTGGCTGAGGTGGTCTCTGTCCCCCCGCAGAGTACCTGAAGGAGCAGCTGGACGAGTACATGTCGCGCTTCCCCAAGGTGAAGATCCTGCGCCTCCGGGAGAGGCACGGGCTGATCCGGGCCAGGCTGGCGGGAGCTGAGGTCGCCAGAGGTAGGACAGGAGCTGAGCTCAGCCCTGTGGGGACCCCAGAGGTGCTGGGCACCCCTCCCAGTCCCTCCCAGTGCAGCAAGGGTGTCCTTTTGCCACGATCTCCAGCCCCTGCCCACCAGCTGTCCCTGCCAGGCTGTGTCAGCACCAAAATGGCCATTTCTGCCAGGAGCCGCCCTGCCAAGCAGGGAAAAACACTCTTGGCTGTGGCTGGGCAGGTCTGGGAGCCAAGGAGGGCACAGTCAGCAGCACCCCGAGCCCACCAGGGGCTGCTGAGCAGGGCAGGGTTGGGATGCCCGAGGCTGACCATGCCCACCCGTGCCGCAGGCGCCGTGCTGACCTTCCTGGACTCGCACGTGGAGTGCAACGTGGGCTGGCTGGAGCCGCTGCTGCAGCGCGTGCGCCTGCGCCGCACCAAGGTGGCCTGCCCCGTCATCGAGGTCATCAGCGACAAGGACATGAGGTGAGGCCGCTCGTCCCCGCCGTGCCCCCGTCCAGGCTGTGTCCTGAGCTCAGCCTGGCACCGCCAGCAGGCCGGCATCCGTGAGTCCAGACCCCCCACCCGCCCGCAGAGCTTCCCACGGGGCAGAGAATTGCTCTGGAATTAACGGCGCCTCTGGATGTGGCCCGTGTTTGTCACACACCCTTTTTGCCTTTTCACAATTTTTAGTGCATGAAGAGGATTCCTGATGAAATTTGTTAAAGTCCTGGTTTAATTACTTACAGATATTCATCTTCTCTCATTAGGGGTGACATTTCAATCAGGAATGTGACTCAGAATTAGTCAGCCCCATCTTTCCTCTGTTTAGTTACATGACCGTGGACAACTTCCAGCGTGGGATTTTTACTTGGCCAATGAATTTTGGATGGAGGCAGATTCCACAAGAGGTCATTGAGAAAAATAAGATCAAGGAAACTGATATAATAAGGTAAAAAAAAAAAAAAAAAGAAATGTGAGAGCTTTGCAAACCAGCCTGTTCCTTTGGTAATAATTTAGCAGCAGAGGCTCCTTTGAGGCCAAATGTTGTTATTTTGTGGCCGAGTATTGTTCCTGTGCTTTCCAGGACAGGTGAGGCACAGGCAATTCCCCCATCAGGCATGGGCAAAGTCCAGGAAGCCTTTCTTCCCCTGCATGGCACTGCTGGCATGTCAGCCAGGAGAACACTTCACTGCCTTTCTTGGCAGTGCCTTTCTTTCTTCAGTGCCTCTCTTTCACTGCCTTTCCCCTCCCTGCCCCGTTACAGCTTTAGGCCACCCAAACACCTCTCTGTCACACCGTGTGGCCTCTCTGTTCCAGGTGCCCCGTCATGGCAGGCGGCCTGTTCTCCATCGATAAGAAGTATTTTTCTGAGTTGGGAATGTACGACCCAGGACTGGATGTTTGGGGAGGGGAAAATATGGAGCTTTCATTCAAGGTAGGTCACTGCCACACCGCTGTACCCCTGCCAGCAGGGGCTCCCCAGGGACAGCTCCACGTCCCGGGGCACCTGGCCTTCTGCCTCTGTTGCCTTGCACAAGGCAGCGCCCCCTCAGCTCGTGTCTATCCGTGACCTCTGTTCCTCAGGTCTGGATGTGCGGAGGAGAGATCGAGATAGTTCCGTGCTCCAGAGTCGGGCACGTTTTCAGGAATGACAATCCTTATTCCTTCCCCAAAGACCGTGTGAGGACGGTGGAGAGGAACCTGGCCCGCGTGGCAGAGGTGTGGCTGGACGAGTACAAGGAGCTGTTCTACGGCCATGCCTATCACCTGCTGCACAGCGCCGTGGATGTCGGCGACCTGAGCCAGCAGATCCGGCTGCGGGAGCAGCTCCGCTGCAAAAGCTTCCACTGGTACCTGGAGAACGTGTACCCGGACCTGGAAGCTCCACTGGTTAAAGCCAGCGGGCTGGTAGGTCCCCAGGCTGTTCTGGTCAGCCAGGGGCTGGCCGTGCCCGGGCAGTGCCCACCCGCCGCCGCTGCAGCTCCCGCGCCCTCGGCAGCTCCGGGTGTGCGATACGGCACGGAGCTCTGCACTCCAGGGCGTTTTGTAAAGAAATAGGTCACGGACAGAAGGGATAGCTTCCCTCTAGGGGCCTGCTTGGGTGTTTGGAGAGCCGAGCTGGGCGCACGGCAGTGCCGGGACACGCTGTGCCAAGGGCTGGCTGAGAAACCCTCCGTGCTGCAAGCACCGCTCGAAGGGGCCCGGGGACCGGCACGGGGTCACGGTGCGGGGTCTGTAGGGTCGGGGTCTGTAGGAACAGAGTCTGTGAATGCAGGGTCTGTAGGTGCAGGGTTTATAGGGTTGGGGTCTGTAGGAACAGGGTCTGTAGGAACAGGGTCTGTAGGTGCAGGGTCTGTAGGTTCAGGGTCTGCAGGGTCGGGGTCTGTACGAACAGAGTCTATAGGGTCGGGGTCTCTAGTAACAGGGTCTCTGGATGCAGGGTCTGTAGGTGCGGGGTTTATAGAAGGTGCAGCGTCTGCAGGGTCAGGATCTGTAGGTGCAGGGTCTGTAGGAACAGAGTCTATAGGGTTGGGGTCTGTAGTAACAAGGTCTGTGAATGCAGGGTCTGTAGGTGCAGGGTTTATAGGGTTGGGGTCTGTAGGAACAGGGTCTGTAGGTGCAGGGTCTGTAGTCTGTAGGAACAGGTCTGTAGGTGCAGGGTCTATAGGTTCGGGGTCTGTAGGTGCAGGGTCTGCAGGGTCAGGGTCTGTAGGGGCAGAGTCTGTAGGAACAGGTCTGTAGGTGCAGGGTCTATAGGTTCGGGGTCTGTAGGTGCAGGGTCTGCAGGGTCAGGGTCTGTAGGGGCAGAGTCTGTAGGAACAGGTCTGTAGGTGCAGGGTCTATAGGTTCGGGGTCTGTAGGTGCAGGGTCTGCAGGGTCAGGGTCTGTAGGGGCAGAGTCTGTAGGAACAGGTCTGTAGGTGCAGGGTCTATAGGTTCGGGGTCTGTAGGTGCAGGGTCTGCAGGGTCAGGGTCTGTAGGGGCAGAGTCTGTAGGAACAGGTCTGTAGGTGCAGGGTCTATAGGTTCGGGGTCTGTAGGTGCAGGGTCTGCAGGGTCAGGGTCTGTAGGGGCAGAGTCTGTAGGAACAGGTCTGTAGGTGCAGGGTCTATAGGTTCGGGGTCTGTAGGTGCAGGGTCTGCAGGGTCAGGGTCTGTAGGGGCAGAGTCTGTAGGAACAGGTCTGTAGGTGCAGGGTCTATAGGTTCGGGGTCTGTAGGTGCAGGGTCTGCAGGGTCAGGGTCTGTAGGGGCAGAGTCTGTAGGAACAGGTCTGTAGGTGCAGGGTCTATAGGTTCGGGGTCTGTAGGTGCAGGGTCTGCAGGGTCAGGGTCTGTAGGGGCAGAGTCTGTAGGAACAGGTCTGTAGGTGCAGGGTCTATAGGTTCGGGGTCTGTAGGTGCAGGGTCTGCAGGGTCGGGCTCTGTAGGAACAGGGTCTGTAGCACGGCTCCGCCGCCAGCAGAGCGCAGCAGCCGCTCGCGTTCCCGGCGCTGCGGGGCCGGGAGGAGGGAGCGGCCCCGCTCCGGGCACGGAACCCGCGCCTCGCCGGGGGCAGCGGGCAGAGAGCACTCTAAAGCCCTTTTGGATTCAATGCTGCCTGCACAAGCCTCTTGCTTGGCGCAAGCAAGAGGTGAGAGAAACCGGGTCAGGCTCTCCTCCTCCACCACACAGAATTCCAGAATGGTGGAAAGGAACCTTAAAGCTCAGCTTATTCCATCCCCTGCCGCGGGCTGGGACACCTTTCACCAGACCAGGGTGCTCCAAGCCCTGTCCAGCCTGGCCTGGAACACTCTTTTCTGCCTCCCTTCGTTATGTGGACGGTGTTAATGTGAGAGACCCGTGAGCGCAGCAGGTTCAGTGCAGTGTAACATCCTCTCCCCCGTCCTGGGAATTTCTGTCTAAATCTGCATTTTGTTGCTGTTTCCCAGCTCGTTAACGTGGCCCTGGCGGGGTGCATCGCTGTGGAAGGCACCAGCCTGGCGTTTGAGGAGTGTGACGTTAACAGCACGGTAAGGACAGGCTGCACGCCCCCGGGTGTGCCAGGGAGCTGCTGTCCCTCCCCGCGGTGACCTGTCCCCTCCCCGGAGCCAACGCAGCCCTTCCCACCCGGGGACACGGCCAGGCTGTGCCGGGGAGCAGCAAGGGGCAGGAACGGCCTGTGGCCAAGCAACAGTGTCAGAAACAGCAAATTCAGCTGGTCAGGAAAGCTTGATAAAGCTGTGAGCTTGCCCATGGAGACAGAGAAAGATTTAAATAGCAGCCTGTGATCCGTGTGCAGCTGCTGGACATCCAGCTGTACCTCACAGCCCGTCCAGTGCCCAGGCTCTGAGAGGGCCAGAGAAGGACCCAGAGGGCCAGGACACAGGGAATGGCTCCCAGTACCAGGGGCAGGGATGGATGGGATATTGGCAACTGGGAATTCCTGGCTGGGGGACGGGGCAGGCCCTGGCACAGGTGCCCAGAGCAGCTGTGGCCAGCCCTGCCATGGGGCCGTGTCTCTTGCTGCTGTCTCCCCACAGCACCAGAAGTTCAACTACACCTGGCTGAGGCTGGTCCAGCACGGAGAGCTGTGCCTGGCCCCGGCTGGCGTCGTGGGAGCCGTGGGCCTGCGCCGCTGCCAGGGCAGGAGCCGCAGCCTGGCCTGGCTCCACAGGTCGCTGGCCACCGTCCAGCCGGGGCTGGTGAGTGATGCTCAGGGGGCAGGAGGGCTCAGGAGAGCACTGACAGGGGCACAGCCTGGCACGGGGACACCCCACCCTCTGCTGCCAGCTTTGCCAAGGCCACCCGTCCCCTAGAGAGGTGCTGGCCTCGTGCCCCTCTGCCAGGGCTTGTGTCCGTCCCAGTGCCCAGCATCCCGGCACGGCTGCCAGGCTGGGGACACGCAGGCACTGCCACAGCCACAGCAGCAGCTACAAGACAGCCCAGAGAGCCTGTCTGACACAGAAACCGTCAATAGCACTTAGAGGGAGATGAGCCAGCATCGATTGGCTCTCGGCTCACAGGGGTTTTTAAAGGCAGCACTGATGGAAAGGAGAAGAATGGATACTTACACTAATTGCCTGTGCTGCACAAAGAGCCATGGCTGTACCTCTGTCAGCCTGGTGCAAGTAGTTCTCCAAAATGCTCTGAAATGGCATAGTCTATTGTTGAGACAAAAACACTCTTCACTTAAGAAAGAAAAAATGTAGCATTCAATATACAGACAATTTCCTGTTGCCCTTTGGTTTTTTCAGCCTAAAGTGTTGAATGTCAGAATGCCACAGGCTCACATTGGGTGTTTAGGGAAAAATACAGGAAAAATTTTATCCACTTAGTGAAAATTGTGAAATTGTCATTTCACTTTGTGAAAAATATGCAGAAATGCCCAGGGAGCTGTCACAGGGCACGGCCAGGTCTTGTCTCCTGTTGCAGCCTGATTTCTCAGCTGAGGCTGAGATGGATTTGGTGGTGCCCTTTTACTGGTGCCAGCAACAGGAGTCTGAGGAGAGCTCAGTGGCTGCTGCCTGAAGGAGTTCCAGCACTTTGCCCTCTCCTGACATCAGGCATTGTGTTTCCAAGGATGTGAAGTGCAGTCCCTGTGTGCACAAAGGTGCAGCTTCTGCCCAGGCCCCCCGGCACACATCACACCAGGAGTGTTTCACCTCGGAGTTACCGAGCTGCTCCTGAGCACCACTGCAGTGCCAGCAGTGGCACAGGAATGGCCCTTGCCTGTGGCAGCACCTGCAGCATCTCCTGGCTGGCCACAGGGCTTGGAGGGGTTAATCCAAGCAGATGTGGAAAGCAAAAGGGTGGAGGTCACTCAGACTCTTTGTTCTTCTCCTGCCCCAGCACTTGGGCTCCAGGGCTGAGTCACCCCACATCCTGCAGTGCCAGGTTCATCAGCCACAAGCTAAACACAGAATCGGTCTCTTCTGCACATTCCCAGTGGAGCAGAGCCCATCCGAGGGACTCCCTCCACATGGCAATTGCCCCACAGACAGTGAGAGAGCTCATCTCTCTGTTCCCAGCAAAGGAAAGGCCAGGGCAGGACTGGACTGCTCTGGTGTGACTGGGCAGCTGGGTGTGATCCTGGCTCAGCAGCAGCTGCAGGCTTGGATCCCAAGCCCAAGTCCCTGTAAGTCAGCAGAGATATCTCAGGTGTTAGGGATGAGCAAAAAAGGGCACACTGTAAGGAGCTGGGCTTTCTCAGAGGGAAAATAGAGCTGCTGCTGCTGCTGCTGCTGCTGCTGCTGCTGCTGCTGCTGCAGGAGCCCCAAATCCCAGCCCCCCCAGCCCCCCAAATCCCAGCCCCCCAAACCCCAGCCCCCCAGGCCCAGCCCCCTGAGCCCCTCTCTGTCCTGCAGACCCACCACCTGGTCTCGGAGCACGGGCAGCTCCCGCAGCCGGCGTGCCTGGAGGTGGATCCCTCGTACAGAGCGCTGCGGGTGAAGGGCTGTGACCCCAGGAACCCCCACCAGAAGTGGCAGTTCAGCAGGTACCACGCGGACTGAGGGCAGCCCGCTGCACCACGACTGCCACGGTGTCACCGCGGGCTCGGGGGACATCGGCGCGGCTGACCAAGGGGGAACTGGAATGTGTGATGTGATACCTGCACGTGGAGGGATCCAAACACCCAGAGCCTGAACACAGCAGCACTATTTTCCCTCTCTGCAGGAGACTTTGGGATAAACTCGTTTTCTGTATTATTAAATTGAAATATTTTTTGAAGTCCCCATCCTACTGTAAGCAAACATCGCTCAGCTCCCCCCAACAGCAGCATAACCTACAGAAATACTTCCAGAGTCCTGTAAGTCTGTAACCAGCAATTTGGGCTGCTCATTCCTCCACAGAAACTGGAAGTTTGTTGATCAATGCATCAAAAAAATCCAGCATCGTGTCCGCAGGGATCTGGCTGCAGGATCCCTCCCTGTGGGGCGTGCTGTGTGAAGGTGAGGATCAGGGTTCTCAGGAACCACTTGCACATCAATGGAGCCCACAATTCATAGTGGGAGGTGGGTGGGGGTCAGTCCCACCCAGGGCTGCTGGAGAGGCCTGGAGCAGCCCTTCCCTGTGCTGGGGACAGAGGGACACAAGTGCCTTGCTTTGTTTGCTGGGGAGAGGAGCTGCTGGAGCAGGGAACCAGGGCTTTATCCTGCTTCACTCCAGGGCCAGCCTGGAAGGTCCTCCTCCCAGGATTGTCCCACCCTGGGGCTGCCAGGACCCCAGCCCTGTCCCCCAGCCCCTGTGACTTTCTGGGGGCTCTCCAGGATCCCTGCTGCTCCCCCAGCCCAGGCTGCACGGCACAGCCAGGCTCTGCACACCAAACTCCCTCCAGACTCACTGCCACGGGCAAGTGTTGGCTGTACTGTGAAGTTCTTCATCTCCAAGATCCAGCACCAGTCAGTGATGGGATGGATTTGATGGGAGAATAAATTCTGTGTGCCGAGGTTGGAGATCCAGAGTAAACAGCAGGCAGGGTTTCCACCCCTGCTCCCGCTGGGAATTCCTGCTGGGGGATGCTGCTCCCGGGGCTGCAGTGGGAGGCAGTGCCATCCTCCTGCCCGCTGTGCTGGGCTGAGGGGCTGCTCCAGCCAGCCCTGGGGTACCCGGGCTGAGCGAGGCACCGTGCTCAGGTGGGCACGGCCGAGCCCCCAGCCCTGCCCCACAGCCCTCCCTCTCCCCTGGGTGTGCACAGGGCCCCGGCACCACTCTGCCTCTGACGTGGTGGATCAGCGCTGACAGCATCTGACAGGCTCAGTCTGCCAAAATATTGACTGGCCCGACAGATTTTCCCAGTTGACTCCTATTCCAGCTGTCTTCCTGATTTTCTCTCCCTCCTTCAGCGCAGCTAGCCCGCAGTCACCATCAGAAAAATGACACAGACGTTGTTTGGGCAGTCAGCTCGTATCAGGAGCATGAATTTCATCAAATTCTGTTTGCTGACATTCAATCACTTGTCACGGAGCAGGCAGCAGGCAGTCATATGTCACGGTCACATCCCATCGCCAGCCCTGTCACTCGCACGCCGCTGCCCCGCTCGTGTAAATGCTCACTTCCCTGCTGGATCTTTGCTCAGAGACTGCAGGGTGCCCGGGGGCTGCTGGCAGTGAGCAGCGGCCCTGCTCTTGCTCAGTACTGAGAGCATTCCGACGGCACCAGTCAGCCCAGTGTTCCAGAAACGAGAGCATTTTCCGGCAGGCTCCGGGAGCAGCGGAGCCACCGGGGAGGGGGGGGGAACCGTGTGTGGGGTGGGGACAGCAGGCCCTGCTGTCCCCGGTGTTAAAAAAAATAAATAAATAAATAAATGAGAATGGATGGAGCTGCTTGCTCTGAGCACGGTGTGTTACATCGGACCAGCCTGGGGCTCCTCCCGACTTACTGCCGGCCTGGGCCGTGAAGCATCGCCCAGGAGGGCCCAAATCCCAGCCCCCAAGCCCAGCCCCCCAAGCCCAGCCCTGCTGGCTGCGGGCTCCTCGCTGGCTGCAGGGAGCTGAGCTGGCGCTGCAGCCACAGCTGCTGCAGGTGTGATTGTCACCCACACACCCCACGAGGCTCTGCCTCCCGCCGCCCTGCCGTCAGCCCGCACCCGGCACGGCACAAACGGAGAAAAAGGATTTTCGGGCTGCGAGCCCCCGGCTGTCCGCACCGCACCCAGGGCCGGGCCGGCTGGGCAGGGCTCTCCGGGCCAAGCATCCCAGCGCTCTCATTTTTTCACTTTTTTTAACCCAGGAAAGCAGGAGAGGGCGCTGCGGCCCTCGGCTGAGCAAGCGCTGCTCTGCACGGAAGGCAAAAAGCCAGCCCGAGGTTCCAAAAGCCAGCCCAAGGTTCTAAAAGTCAGCCCAAGGTTCCAAAAGCCAGCCCGAGGTTCCAAAAGCCTGCCCGAGTTCCTAAAAGCCAGCCCAAGGTTCCAAAAGCCAGCCCAAGGTTCCAAAAGCCTCGGGGAGCCTTTCCACGGAAAGCTCTGGGAGCGGGCACAGGCGCTGATGGAATCGGAGCAGTTTGGGTTGGCAGGACCCCAAAGCCCCCCTCGTTCCACCCTCCCACACCTCTCCCGGTCCCGGGCTGCTCCAGCCCTGCCCAGCCACGTCCCAAGGGCCGTGTCACCCCCGAGCAGCTGCCAGAGGGAACAGACCCCCTGTATAAGTTGGGACAAGCAAAGCTCAGAACTTCCCCAGGCCAAGGAGCAAACAAACAAGTGTGAATGGCACAATGAGGGCTATGTCTGCTGGCACAATGCAGAATTGCCCCGTATTATTTTCACGTTGCCAATAAATAATTGCCTTTATGTGGAACAAGAAAAGTCAAAGCGATATTCAGTGCTGCTGGAGATGTAAAACTAATCCTTAAAAAGGCACTTATGGCTGCAGAAGGCCCTGTATAACTCCATCCTTACCTCCTCTCCCTTGCCAGCTGTTCTCAGCTTTCCCAGATGCTTTCTGGGATGACAAGTGCAAAGCTAAGTCCCAACTCCAGACAAATCTAGAGTAAAACAGTTTACAAAGATTGCCACCACTGCATGGTGCTTACACAAAGGTTTTTCAAAATGGAGAAGGGTAATATCCAGGTGAGACAAAAATAATGGATTAAAACTCACCTGGTTTTGGCAAAATAATCTTTAAAATTTTGCACCTAAACTTAGCATGAAAGTCAGGACACCTAAGAGAGTCTGACCTGGTGGCACAGGGACAATAGGTGTTCCTGTTAGCTGCACACAGGCACAGGGTGCCAGCTGAGCTGCAGCCCAGCCCCGGGCTGTGCCTCTGGAGGTGGCACTGGTCACCAGCCCCACTGCCCCAAAGCCACCCAGGCTGGCGGGGCAGGCAGCGTGGCCACAGCTGGCCCTGGCCTGGTGACACCTCAGCACCAGCTGGGACAGGCAGTGCTGGCAGAGGGGCACCACAGACAGACTGCAGAACAGAGCAGGGGTGGCCACAGCTGTCCCTTTGGTGCCCCTGCCCTGGCAGTGTCACAGTGCCACACTGCCAGCTCCTTACAGCACGGCAGGCAGCCTGGGCAGCCAGCCAGCTCCAGCCTTTCCTGCTCTCAACACGGTTATAAAGGCAGAGAGGAGAAAGGAGGATAACCTTAACATCCAGGGGGTGTGTATTTAGCAAACTGATTATTTATTTTCCTGCGCTATGGATGCCTCTGCCCCCGTCAAAGCCAAGATGTTAAATTTTCACAGTGTATTACAAATCATATACAAAAAGAAGAAAAGCAGTGACCTCGTGTTGTGTGAAGAGACACGTTTCGGGGGAGAAGATAAAACCGAGCCAGAGCAAAGGCTCGGCGCGTTAGGCACTCCCCCTCAGTTCACAAGTGCATCATGGACTCGAACTCGTCGATCCGCTGTTTGGTGTTTCCTTTACGGATCCTCCGGTAGGAGATTGTGTTGTACCTGGAATAGCTGTGTCTGGAGATGTCGTTCTTCTTCCCCAGGCCGGGCTGCTCCAGCAGCGGGGAGTTGCGGCCGGGGCTGCCCGCGGGCTCGCCGCCGGCCGGCTGCTGCGGGCGGGGCGCGCCGCCGCTCTCCTTCTGCATTTCGATCACCTGAACTTCGTCCTCTTCGGTGTCCTCCTCCTCCTCCTCCTCCTCCTCCTCCTCCTCCTCGGCCGCGTTCGGCCTGGGCTCGGCGCTGCCCGGCGGGGTCTCCGCGACCTCCGTGCCCGTCCCCGCTGTGCCACCCGGCCCTGCGCGACACGGGGACACGGGGACACGGCGGCTGCGGGCCCGCCACCGCCAGCTCCTGCCCCCGAACGGCCTGGGGACAGCTCCCAAAGTCACCCCTTGTCCCTTCTAGTGCCTCCCCCTTGTCCCTTCTAGTGCCTCCCTCCGTACTGCCACCGAGGGAAGGGAAGGGAAGGGAAGGGAAGGGAAGGGAAGGGAAGGGAAGGGAGCCATTCCGCATGCAGTGCCCAGCTGTGCCCCAGTGGGACGCGTCCCTCCCTCGGCAGCGGCCGCCCCTGCTGCCATGGCCCTCTCCCATTTGCCCTGTTTGGCACGTCTCTGCGGTTAATGATGCTTTAGTGTCGAAACAAATGGTCTATTCAAGGTTTTGCCTGTGGGGTCCGGAGTATTAATTAGACTAAATTGGTTGGGTACTAAAAAGCTGCCTGCAATTTGGAGATAAAGCGCCGTGGCTGCAGGGCGGGTGCAGGGGGCCCATGAGAGATCCTTTAATAGGTTTTATTGTGTGCTCCTAAAGCAGCACAGCTGGAATATGGATGTCAGCTCTGAGTGGGAAAGCCTCCACCACTATTCAGCTCCTCACAGCCTAGGCAGTTGCTATGAAATATTAATTTGGCCATGACAAATGTTCGGATATTTTTCCTTTTGTTAATGGAAGCAGGTTTTGCTTGCAGGGCACAGCCCATGGCTCATTTAGAGCCCACTTCAAAGCTGAGGGCAGAGCACCACCAGCAGCTCCTGGTGCAGCCACCCTTGAACCACCCCTGCCAAAGCCAAGGAGACAGGAGGAGCCTGGAGATGAGGAAAGGAATAATGCCTAGAGCCCCCCTTGGAGAGACACGGCTGTTCTCCTGCAGTAACACACCGTAAAATACTCCTCCTTTTGGAGACGTGGCTGCAGTTTGCATAGTGAAATAAATATGTTCATTTCTGTATATACTCAGTACATTTTTAGCTCATGGCCAGGGCAGTGACCCCCCTGCAGCCCCGCTCACCACAGGAGGTGCCTGAGGCTCCAGCCCTGGCTCCTGCTCATTTCCACCATTTTCACCCAGAAATGAGCAGAGCAAGACCCAGGAACAGCTGTTGAGGAGGGCAATTTTATGTGGATACCTGGGCACTGGGGGATTCAACACTTGGTGAGTCAGGCAGAAAAGGATTTGGGGTTTGTGGCCAGTGTCAGCCTCACGAGGTTCTCCTCTGAGCTTGGAGCAGAAGACAGAGACTCTCCCAGCCCCATGAGCTGTTGGGGACCTCCTGCCTGAAGACCCCACAACGCTTGGATGCCCCATGGCCAATGAGATCTGTGAAACTCTGGCAGGAGGAGATCAGCCGTGGTTTCTAAGGTGCAGCAACTCACAGGTGAGAAATGAGTCACTGCTCTCTGGAACAGAAGGGTCTGACCCAATTAAAAAAAATAATAACCACCTGCATGCATTGTCTCTTTGGTACACATCAGTGAAACCCCACATCATATGTCATTTTGCATTACCTGCCTCTGATCCCTGGCCATTGGTCCCTGCGTCCTGGATATCCGCTGGTCCCTGCTGTGGTGTGCCAGCGTTCTCCTCTCGCTTTTCTTTGGGAAACACAAAGCACAAGACATGGCCTGATGGAGCAATTAGCGGTGACAATCAGGTTTTAATGGCTGCAGATCGGCAGGTTTTCAGAGCAGATTTAGAATTGCTCATTTCTTTAGTTATGATCTTTTCATTGCCTTCCTCAAATGTGTCCCAGATTCTGAAATACTGTTACAGCTACCACGGATTAGGAATTTTCCCTAACACACAGCACATCCCGTTATTCATCAGGCTACAGATGAAGCAGAACTTTCCTCTCCCAACGCCCAGAGACAGGCAGCCCCGTACGATACCTTGGCATCGCTTCTCTCCAGCAAAATTCTCAGGAGCGATGTCCTCTGGCAATGAATTTCTGTTTTCCTCCAGATTTTCCTTTGCAGGTAGAGTGCCGGGGCTCATTTCCGCGTTGGCATACGGGACTGTCCCAAGAGATTTTGCAATTTCTTCGAGGCCGCCGATGACCTGGAGTGGGCCGTCCTCCGGGGGAAGGCTCCCGTTGCACGCCGGCATGGAGGCAGCTGCGGGCGCTTCTTCTGTCATGCTGAGGGCCGTGCCGGGCCGGGCCGTGCCGTGCCGGGCCCCGCTCCTGCCCCGGGGTGGGGAGCTGCTCCTCGCCCCTTGGCCCCGGGGTCCGCTCCCCTGCGCGAGTGGCCCTGGCGCGTCCCCTGTGCCCATCCGCTGTGCCCGGGGCTTGCCAGCCCAGTCAGCGCCTCCCTCGTCGCCGAGGCTCTGCCCGTTGCATAATTAAACGCACCATTATAATTTACATAAACAAACAATCTGAAGCAAGGAAGCTTTTGTGCTGGCCCGGAGAGCGGGGCTGCGGGCATGTCAGCCCCTCGGGAATAAACAGGAGTTTGTGCTCTGGGCACAATGGCTCTTTGTGTCCCCGCTGGCCACAGGGACAGCCATTGTTCTGACCCCTAATCCCCGCAGGGTGACCACCTTCCCCAGGGCCCGCCACCTAACCCGCTTAACATTCCCCATCGGGTTTGCGCCGGGAACCGCGCCAGGGATGGAGATCGCCAGGGATGGAGCTTGCCGTAGATGGAGCTCACCATGGATGGAGCTCACCATGGATGGAGCTCACCAGGGGTGGAGATCCCTGTGGATGGAGCTCGCCAGGGATGGAGGTCGCCAGGGATGGAAATCACCAGGGGTGGAGATCGCCAGGGATGGAGCTCACCAGGGATGGAGATCACTCTGGATGGAGCTCGCCATGGATGGAGCTCGCCAGGGATGGAGCTCACCATGGATGGAGCTCGCCAGGGATGGAGCTTGCCGTAGATGGAGCTCACCATGGATGGAGCTCACCGTGGATGGAGCTCACCAGAGATGGAGCTCGCCAGGGATGGAGCTCGCCAGGAATGGAGCTCACCAGGGGTGGAGCTCGCCAGGGATGGAGCTCACCAGGGATGGAGCTCACCATGGATGGAGCTCGCCGTGGATGGAGCTTGCCATAGATGGAGCTCACCATGGATGGAACTTGCCAGGAATGGAGCTCACCAGGGATGGAGCTCGCCAGGGATGGAGCTCACTGTGGATGAACCTCGCCATGCCCTGGGGCACAGTGGGAGCACTTTGCCCTGTGGGGAGCAGCCCCAGCAGTGGGACAGGCACAGGCCCTGCATACAGCACAGTGTCACGCTGTCCACCTGCGCCCAGCCACGCACCCTGGACAGCCAACACTGCTCAGAGGGGCCGTGGCTGCCCCTGGGGCCCTGGAAGTGTTCCAGACAAGGTTGGACAGGGCTTGGAGCACCCTGGGGTAGCGGAAGGTGTCCCTGCCATGGCAGGGGGTGGAACAGGGAGAGCTTTAAGGTCCCTCCCATCCCAAGACATTCCATGATTCTCTCAGTAACTCTCAGTCACACCGAAGGCTGGCAGGATCCAGAGGGAGCGTTTTGCAGAGGGAAGCTGGAGAATCACCCGAGCAGCCCTGGGGCATTTCTGACCGCAGCTGAACTCGTCTCAACCCTGGTGCCCAAAGCCAGGTTTACATAACAGTGTAATCTCCTGCTGTGAATGGCATTCTGTGTTTGTACAATACAGCATTTCTGGTATCTTTGGGCTTTAGGGTTTGGAAATCCTCTTGTCAAGTTCAGCCCCTGATTAGACATGAACCCAAACACCTTCCACTGCTTCTATTCATCTTTTGAGTTTGTGTCTTTAAATCAACAAGTTTTCATTATTGTTTTAAAATTAATTTGGTGTGATTGGTTTATAAAATCCATCCTTTGCTGGAAAATGTTGTCCAAGAAAAGTGAACGATAAAGTTTGAACGTGAGCTGACAATGAGCAGAGGTTGGTGCCCTCAGGAGGAAAGGCTGAGCACCCAGCAAGGTCTGGTGACTGGAGAGGAGAAGGCTCCTTCCCATTATCACAGAATCACAGAACCCTTTGGGCTGCAGGATTGCAGAAGGAAAAGACAGCTGTGTGTTCTTCCCACCACAGGCAGCTGCTTGTACACAGCTGGGCAAAACCACCTCTCAAGGGCAGGGAACAATTCCTTCTGCACAAACCCCACGGGGTGGATTTCTGCCTCTTCAAGCTTTTAAAAATTTTTTAAAAAAATTGGTCCAATCTGGCATGGCACAGCCACAGCTGGATATGACACCACTAACAGCTGGTCCGTGCCAGGAGCACCGGGGCTCACTCCTGGCTCTGAGTGTGGATAAATGTGAGTCCCCTTTGCCTCGAGGCGCTGGCAGGCCGGGCTCAGCTGCCCTGGACAAGCACTGTGCCACCTTCTGCTCTGAGCCTGGAGCTGCGTGTGACCAGCTGCTGCACCGGGGAACGGGGCCCCCAGCGTGGGGAGAGGAAGGGCAGGGTGGGGCTGCAGCCAGCAGTGCAGCAGAGCAGCAGGAGGGAGGCAGCAGCACCATCCCTGAGTGCAGGGAAGGATGGAGCCCAAAAGGCAGCAGCACCACCCCTGGGTGTGGGGCAGGATGGAGCCCAAAAGGCAGCAGCACCATCCCTGAGTGCAGGGCAGGATGGAATTGAAGAGGCAGCAGCACCATCTCTGACTGTGGGGCAGGATGGAGCCCAAAAGGCAGCAGCACCACCCCTGGGTGCGGGGCAGGATGGAATTGAGGAGGCAGCACCACCATCCCTGAGTGCAGGGCAGGATGGAGTCCAAGAGGCAGAACCACCCCTGACTGTGGGGCAGGATGGAGCCCAAAAGGCAGCAGCACCATCCCTGAGTGCAGGGCAGGATGGAGCCCAAAAGGCAGAACCATCCGTGACTGTGGGGCAGGATGGAATTGAGGAGGCAGCAGCACCACCCCTGACTGTGGGGCAGGATGGAGCCCAGGAGTCAGGACCTGGTGGGAGGGTCTGGGCAGTAGACAGCACTCAGCTGAGCAGTTAAGCCCCCTGAGAAGGTCAGGCTCTGTAGCATTCATCACATTAACGCAAATGTTCAGTTTAAAATCCAGTTGCATTCATCGAGGACCAGCTGCACTCTCCTCTGCAGTAAACTTGTGTTGTCCCCTCAGCCCCCGGGGGATAAGCAGAGAAAAGGTTCCATTGGCTGTTGGGAACTCTCCAACCCCTCCAACACCCCTGTGATCAGTGAGAACTCTGCTGCTGGAGGTCCAGAGCCCACGGAGGCCAGCCCCAGCCCCTGGTGTCACTGTCCCATGCTGCCTGTACACCCACCCTCCTCCTGCCCCTCACCCAGGAGGCAGAGCAGGATCCACCCAAAGTGCTCTCTGCAAGGAGAAACGCCTTTTTTAAAAGCTGTTGCAGTTGCTTTTCTTCCTGAGCACTTTGGCCTGTGAGCTCCCTCCTCCCCCCCAGGCTGGGGCACAGCAGGGCTCGGCGCTTGTCACCCACATCCTGTTTGTGACCGTGGCTGAGAACGTGTCACGCCGTCATCCTGCGGCACCCAGAGCGTGCTCTCACCCTGCTGGGAGGGCAACACTGCTTCAGGCTGAGCTCCTGGGCTGCCAGGCTCCTCCAGCCTTCCCACACTCACAGCAAGTGCCTGGATCCCAAACTGTGGCAAGTTAACCTTTCATACCTAAAGGAATCACACCTTTGGACCGTGGGGCTGCAATACTTCAGGGTCCCTTTCTCAGTGCTGGGGCTGTCCATTCCCTTCAGGCACTGCAATGACTCTCACCAGATGTTCTGGTTTTTCTGCCCCTGGTTGCTGTTGGACACCCCTGCATGTGCCTTTAACCGAACATTTTGGCCAAGTAGAACCAATCTCTAATTTATTTTTTCTCCTTTCAGAGGATGCTACTGGCAATGAAAAGTAGAACTCCTCTATTGTGAGACAGCAAATCAGGGGTGCAGCAGCACAGACAGGACATCACCTATGTACACACCATGGCAGCTCCTCCCCTGGCTGTCCCACAGCCCCCTGATTGTCCCCCAGCCCCCCTGACATCCCTCCATCTCCCCTGACTGTCCCCATCTCCCCTGACTATCCCCAGCTCCCTGACTGTCCCCAGCCCCCCTGACATCCCTCCATCTCCCCTGTGTCCCACAGCCCCCTGACTGTCCCCAGCTCCCTGACTGTCCCACAGCCCCCCTGACATCCCTCCATCTCCCCTGACTGTCCCCATCTCCCCTGACTGTCCCCCAGCTCCCCTGGCCATCCCAGAGCCCCCTGAGTGCCCTTTATCTTCCCCAGAGCTGTGCCATATTTCCAGCTACTTAATCCTTCCCACAGAAATTGCAGAGGCCAGGACTGACTCTTCTGTCTCAGCTGTGTTCATGAATCAGAGAGGTTTTGGGAGCAGGTTGTTTTTGTTTGGAGCTCCTCTGGCAGGGCAGCTGTTGGATTCAGCCTGAGGTCTCTGAGAAGCTCAGCAAACCCCAGCACTGCGGTACCTGAGGGTACAACTGCACAGGCTGCCCGGGCAACGGGCAGTGAGTCACACAAGGTCCTTGAATTATTTTTAAAATGCTTCCAGTTGTATTTGAAAAATATAATTAGGCTGCTCAGGCTGAACAGACAGCCTTTCCTGTGTACTGAGGGGGAGCGAAAAAACTCTCTTTTTCTTCACATCTGTGCCCGTGGTTATTAAACTCCATATTTTTTTCACCCGTGCTCTCAGTGATCCTTACTGCCTGAAGCCTCGGCTTCTGGGGAAATAAATGTGAGCAGGTGTGGCGTGCTGAGAGCAGCGGGACCAAGGGCAGCTCCTCAGCCCCGTGCACTGCTGGGCAGGGGGGTCCCTGGGTGTCACCACCCTGCCAGCACAGAGCAGAGCAGAGCAGTGCTGCTCCTCCCTGCAGCTCTGCCTTTCTTCCCTCTTGCCTAGGGAAGTCAGCTCTGCAGGACACACAGAGCTGCTCCGGGCAGGGTCACAGACACCCCTCAAGGCTCTGCAGAGGAGCCTGGGGACACGTGTGTGCTCAGGAGGGTCCTTGCCCCTCCACACGCCCTGGAATGGGACACTTGGCAAGACACGGGATATCAGCACCTGGCAGAGGCTGCAGCTGGTCAGGCCAAACCAGCACTGGGTCGTCACACCGTTTGTACAGCGGCTGCAAACCTGGCAGGGCAGCTTCATTCCAGAACACCCTGCCAGGCTCCCTCTGCCACACTCTCCAGGCTCCGTCCTCCTCCCAGCGGGACTCTGCAACTGGTTTTAGTCGAAGCACTCATTTTATTAAAGACCTTTGGAAGACACTGACTCCGGTAACAGGAAATAAATAGCTATCAATTTCGCATTCAATTAAAAACTGTTATTAACAGTAAAGTTCGCTGAGGAAGTTCTGCAAAGGTTCTTCACATTTTGGAGTCACTCATTTTTCACGTTAATGAAGAGGTCCGCAGCGTGCTCTGATTAAAAATGAAAATAATTAAGACCCCAGAGCCGTGTGATCTCATCAGAGCTGTTGTCTGGGGGAGCGCCCTGGTGCCACCGCGGTGAGCCCGGCATCCAGGGCGACACCGACATCACACCCGACTTTCTTCCTCTTCCACGGCCCGGTGAAAGCCCGGAATGAGTTTCAAAAGCCGCTTCCGGACGCTGGCTCTGCGGCTGTTCCTCGGGAGGGTGCCGAAGCTGCTGGAGAAGGCGCTGCCGTGGCCGAGCGGGGACGCGGGGCCGCTGCTGGCCAGGCTGACGCTGCGGTTCCTGCGCAGGGAGCCCCGAGCCCTGGGGAACTCATCGTCCGTGCTGCCCTGGCGGCTCAGGCTCTCCGCGGCCGAGTCCTCGAAGGCGCTGCCCTGGTAGAAGCTGTCCTCGCTGCCCAGCGTCGTGGAGCTCAGGCGGCTGCGGGAGCTGCTGTCGCTGGAGAAGCGCGGCTTGGAGGGCAGGAAAGGTCCCGGGGAGCCGCAGCCCGGGCCGGGCTCTGCCGGGCCCGGCAGAGCGCTGTCGGTCACCTCGCCTGGAAGCAGCAGCCGGAGAGCAGCGTTAGCCAGCCCTGCAGCGCTGGGGGACCGTGCCCAGCCCCTCGGCACAGGGAGCAGCCCCTTCCCACGAGGGCAGCTGCTCCGGCTGCTGCTGCCGGCACCCTGGGCAGTCCGCACAAAACCCAGCCCAGCCCCTTCCCCGGCAAAACCAAAGTAAGGATGGAAAACATTTCACCAGCCGCGCAAACTCGCGGCGCAGGAGTGATGCGAAGAGCCCCTGGTGTGCAGCGGCCAAGCAGCGGCCAGGTTCATCACCCTCGGCACGAAAGCGACCCCCGGGCAGCCCCGTGCCCTCCTCGGGAGGGAAAGGAAGCCGCTGCCCACTCCCCACGAGTGCTGCGGCCCCACACGTACCGTGCAGCAGGAGCCGCTCCCGGGCCAGCAGCGCCCGCAGCTCCCCCCACCGCTGGTGCAGCGCCTGCTGTGGGGACAAGGAACAGCTCTGTCACTGCCGGGGAACAAAACAGGCTGTAAAGGTGCGGCTCGGGGGTCCCAGAGGTCAGCAAGTCTCTTCCAGAAAACAGGAGTCGGCTCACGGCTCAGGTGCCAAAGCACTGCCAGCTGCGGTTTGGGAAAGGAGCAGCCTGGAGCCTGCCTGGGGAGCACGGGCCCACCCTCACCCAGCTGTGGCAGTGCCAGCGCTCTTCTGCAGCCCTGCCCAGCTCTGGAGAGCCCGCCAGGAGCAGGCAGCCCGCTCCTCCTCCCCGGGCTCACAGCGTGGGACTGGCACAGCCTGCCAGCCCTGCCGGCTCTGGGAGCACACCTGGAAATCCTGGGAGCCCCCAGCCATCCAACACCCAGCAACGTCTCCTTCCCTCTGCTGCAGGTCAGCTCTGGGGGAAATAAACCACTGCAGAGCTGATTGAAAATGCCAAAGGGGCGAGGCTGTGCCTGGGGACAGCCACAGGGGCACCTCCCCACCAGTCCAGAGGACTCTGTGCACGTGGACATTCCCACACCCAAACTGAGCAGCCTAAGCTCACCCGGGCACTCCTGGGATTGTGACCACATTTCTTCCCTATTCCTGGTTTATAATCACAATACCAGGGGCAGCAGGGCTGGGGTGGCTGGGGGTGCTGGCAGCAGGGTGTCAGCCCTGTCCCATGCCCCATCAGCAGAGAGCCACAGCAGCCCTCTCCATGTGGCAGTGGAACAACCTGTTAATCCTGTTACCTTGAGAGCCTGCAGCTTGCTCTCCAGCTCCATTTTCCTCAGGAGCAAGGCCCCGTTGACGGTCTCTAACCTGTGGGAAGGGTGATGCTGCCCTGAGCACAGAGGCTCTGCCCTGCCCAGCCCTTGGGATTTCTGCCCCTCAGGCTGTGCAGGGCTGTGGGGCCGCACTGCCTCAGGTGGGAATGGAAATCAGGCCAAAGCCCGTCCAAAGGAGAGACACCCACCTCAAGTAGTTCCCTGAAGACTTTATCAAGTCCACGATTTGCTTGTGACAAAAGCCCTCGGTGCTCACGCCGTTGATGCTGGTGAGGATGTCACCTGCCGGGGACACACAGAGTGGGCACCAGCAGCCCGTGCACACCCCCCTGCTCCGGGAGGATCGGGCTCCCAGGGCAGGAAAACCCACGGACAGTTACCAGGCTGGAGGCCGGAGAGGTGGGCAGGGCTCTCCTCCTGGACTCTGCAGACACAAGTGCACACCTCCAGGGAGAAATCACTCTGGTGTGAGAACCTAAGAGTCTGTTAATGCCAAAGGGACAGCGTTAGCAGCCCTGGAGCCATGAAAGCCATTTAAAATTCAGTACTCTTTCAGTGAGAAGGCTGTGATGGGCAGAGTACATTACATGCAAGTGAGATCAAAATGCTACGACCCAACAATTAAAAATGCATTTGTACAGCAGAAAACAGGAGACATCTGACAGGTGCCTCTACACTGGGTTTGTGGGGAAAAAAAACAAAAACAAAAAAAAAAAAAAAAAAAAAAAAACAAACAACAAAAACCCCTAGTTTTAAGCCTGCAGGGTCGTTCAGCATTAAAAACTCTGTGACTTCAACCAAGAATATGTCAGCATGGGTGGGAATGGCTTTCTGGAAAGATGTCTCATGTTCCCAGGGGAACATGACAGGGTGGGACTGGGGCTTTTCCAGGGATTGACTCCTATTCATTGGGAATACTATGTGGAGTCAGCTGCTGCTACCAGACAGCTCAGTTTGTGTGGGAACTGGAAAGACAGAAGATTTAAACTTACTTTTGCTCTTCTGGCCTCTGCAACTTGTCACCCACACACATCCCCACCCTCCTCGGAGTTCTTTTTATTCTTGAAGTACACATTTAACTGAACATTTGGTAACTCTAATTACTCTAAATCCCTCGTGTGGTTGTGGGTGCTGACATGAGTTCAGAAATTGCAAACTCCGGTGCCGCAGCCTGCCCGGATCCCACAGCAGCAGGAAACCTTTTCTGGTGACATGCAAATACCACATCTGCTTCCTGGAAACCTGCCACTGCCACTTCTGACCCAGACAGAGCCCACGCTGGGGTCCCAGATTTCTCAACAAAGGGATGGAGGCTGAGGAAGCTCAGAGCTCATCTGCCCAAATCCCCCCGTGTGGTCATTCCAGCCTTTTTAGCAGGAAAATTCGTGCCTAAACTGAGAGTGATGAGCGAAGCAGGAGCTCCCTGCAGATCTAGACCTCAAGTTTCACATCATCTTACTCTGCTTTGCCTGAATGTATCTCACAGTGACAGAACTGCAGCTTCAGACATCCTCAGTAGCTGAGGGAGGCTGCCTTCCTGCAGCCCCCACTTCCTGTGAGGTGCTCACGCTGAATGTATGCTCAGGAAGAAAACGTGCCAAGAACAATTATTTTTAATCAGAATGCCACATATAATGAAAATCTGCCCTGACAATTTAAACAAAAGCCCAATAATTGACTCAGTTATCCTCCCTTCTGAAAGCTCTCCTCTGTTCACGAGCTGAGTGCTGACCCGCTCATTAGTCACAGACCCGAATTGGGCAAAGTTAAGCTTTTCCTAATACACTAATTTCACAGAAAACACTTTTTCCCTTTGTGTGCAGAGAGAGGAAAGCACTTTGAAAGTGCCCTGCTGCTGGCAGGCAGATCCCTCTGCTCCCAGACTACATCCCTTTATTGCTGGGATCAGTTTTTAGCTTTACCCAGGATTTTAGCAGACCTGCTGATGAGGAGTTACCCTTCTCACAAAAACCCACAAACACAGAATCTCCCCCAGCAGTACTTCTGGTGACATTCTGGTTCTCCTGCCTGATGACTTACTGATTTCCACACCCAAGAGAATCTCCTCCTATATGATTAACTCCTGCCCCAAAAGTCATGCTTAGCAGGGATTTATGGGAAAATGTTGTACACTTCTTTGAAAAGTACATTTCTCTCTGTGCATATTAAAGGAGGTGGCAAAAAGCCAGCATAAGGTAATTTTTAAGAGAGTTTTCTGATCTCTCTTGTTTGAAAATATTCTCATATACAATCCTCCCAAAAATATTCACTTATGGAGGTAAGAAGGAACTTACCTCCATTGCCTCTTATTTACTAGTGCCTCTTATTTCTCCTATATTCAACACTCTGACTTGTGAGAAGGCCAGAAATTCTCATCTGTGACCTTCACTATGAAAAAATCTCCGGAGAAACATCCTTGTATGTGCCTTGTATGAGTGCTGTAAGCCCTTCAGAGCTCACAGCCCTTCACGGAGTTCACTTTGCTCTGCTCTGGCCTGCCTTCCCTGGGTGTGGGGATACGAACTTCAGACTCTGCACCGCGTTTTGTTTTTAAGGGAACAGCTTGTCATTCAGCTCTCACCTGGATTTCAAACCCAAAGGTCTCTTTATCTTCTTTCAGTATAGCAACGAGGTGCCTGCAGGAGGAGCACACACAATTCCAGGTGAGCGTGGGCTGCTGCGCCCTGCGGGCCCGCGTTTGCACCAGGGGTGTCACCACACTGTCCCTCATGGGGTGTCACCACACTGTCCCTCATGGGCCTGCAGGGTGTCACCACACTGTCCCTCCCCGGGCCATGGGGTGTCACCACGCCGTGGGGTGTCACCACACCGTCCCCCCTGTTCCTGCAGGGTGTCACCACGCCGTGGGGTGTCACCATATGGGGTGTCACCACACTGTCCCTGCTGTGCCTGCAGGGTGTCACCACACTGTCCCTCCTGTGTCACGGGGTGTCACCACACTGTCCCTGCTGTGCCTGCAGGATGTCACCACACTGTCCCTCCTGTGTCACGGGGGGTCACCACACTGTCCCTCCCTGTGCCTGCAGGGCGTCACCACACTGTCCCTCCCCGGGCCATGGGGTGTCACCACGCCGTGGGGTGTCACCACACCGTCCCCCCGTTCCTGCAGGGTGTCACCACACTGTCCCTCCCCTGGCCATGGGGTGTCACCACGCCGTGGGGTGTCACCACACCGTCCCCCCGTTCCTGCAGGGTGTCACCACGCCGTGGGGTGTCACCATGCCGTCCCTCCCGCGGTGCTGCCTGTTCCCAAGCCAAAGCTCACAACTGCACCTGCAGGTGCTGGTGCCACTCTCTGCCTTGCACCCCGATCCCCCCTGGGCTGCCACAGTTCCCAGGACATGCTTTCCATGCAGAATAAGCCAGAACAGTGACTCTGGAGTCACAGAATCATGGAATCATACCTCTGTGGCTTGGAGCAGTCGCCCAAGGAGCTGGATCTGGCCAAGGCGAGCTGTGACCAGAAACAGGAGAGGAAAGGCATCAGTAGGTTTGTGGTTCTTGGAAGCACACAGATAAAACCAGCAGTTTAAAGAAGAACTGAAAACAGCTGCTGGCATCCCACCAACACCTCTGCCTTGGTCAAAAGAGAGCTTGAGCTTTCTGAACAGGAGGAAAAGCATCTGGAGGTCAAATCCTCCTGTCAGATGCTGGTGGCAAGCTCAGAGCACAAATCACATCTCTGTTGTGCCAAGAGCTCATCTCACTTTAGTCCCTTTCCTCTAAAATTGTGTGGTGTTTATAAAGTGAACACCTGCCAGGAGAGGCACAAAGCACCCCCAAGGCAGGGGAGTGCACCCCCTGAGCCCTGCAGGGTCTGCACAGCATCTCCCAGCCAGACCCCTGCTTCAGGCCAGGGACACCTGGAGGGGTCTCTGGGAAGAGCCAGGTCAGCACCAAACGTGGGTTCTTCCCCTAAAAGGGAGCCATGAATGAGGAGTTCCACTCGCAGTGAGGTGTTTGTAGTCAGCAGAGCTGATGTCTCTTCAGCAGGATAAAATGGTGCCACAGCGTGACCTGCTGCAGAAACAGCCACTTCATGGAGGTGCACTTCCTTGCCGAGGGACAGGGGAGGACAGAGAGGCCGTGTGTGATCCCCCTGGGAGGGGATGGGAGGGCTGATAGCAGGGCCATGCCTGGGCGAGGGACCCCTACCCTGGGGATGGTCCCTGCAGTGCAGCCTTGGCCCTGATGTGGTCCAGCTCTGCCACTCCCAGTGCCAGTCCCAGTCCCGGTCCCAGTCCCAGTCCCGGTCCCAGTCCCAGTCCCGGTCCCAGTCCCAGTCCCGGTCCCAGTCCCAGTCCCGGTCCCAGTCCCAGTCCCGGTCCCAGTCCCAGTCCCGGTCCCAGTCCCAGTCCCGGTCCCAGTCCCAGTCCCGGTCCCAGTCCCAGTCCCGGTCCCAGTCCCAGTCCCGGTCCCAGTCCCAGTCCCGGTCCCAGTCCCAGTCCCGGTCCCAGTCCCAGTCCCGGTCCCAGTCCCAGTCCCGGTCCCAGTCCCAGTCCCGGTCCCAGTCCCAGTCCCGGTCCCAGTCCCAGTCCCGGTCCCAGTCCCAGTCCCGGTCCCAGTCCCAGTCCCGGTCCCAGTCCCAGTCCCGGTCCCAGTCCCAGTCCCGGTCCCAGTCCCAGTCCCAGTCCCAGTCCCAGTCCAGTCCCAGTCTCAGTCCCAGTCCAGTGCCAGTAGCAGTGCCAGTGCCAGTGCCAGTGCCCGTCCCAGTCCCAGTCCCAATCCCGGTCCCAGTCCCAGTCCCAGCCCCGGACCCAGTCTCAGTTCCAGTCCCAGTCTCAGTCCCAGTCCCGGTCCCACTCCCAGTCCCAGTCCCAGTCCCGGTCCCAGTCCCAGTCCCAGCCCCGGACCCAGTCTCAGTTCCAGTCCCAGTCTCAGTCCCAGTCCCGGTCCCACTCCCAGTCCCAGTCCCAGTCCCGGTCCCAGTCCCAGTCCCAGCCCCGGACCCAGTCTCAGTTCCAGTCCCAGTCTCAGTCCCAGTCCCGGTCCCACTCCCAGTCCCAGTCCCAGTCCCGGTCCCAGTCCCAGTCCCAGCCCCGGACCCAGTCTCAGTTCCAGTCCCAGTCTCAGTCCCAGTCCCGGTCCCACTCCCAGTCCCAGTCCCAGTCCCGGTCCCAGTCCCAGTCCCAGCCCCGGACCCAGTCTCAGTTCCAGTCCCAGTCTCAGTCCCAGTCCCGGTCCCACTCCCAGTCCCAGTCCCAGTCCCGGTCCCAGTCCCAGTCCCAGCCCCGGACCCAGTCTCAGTTCCAGTCCCAGTCTCAGTCCCAGTCCCGGTCCCACTCCCAGTCCCAGTCCCAGTCCCGGTCCCAGTCCCAGTCCCAGCCCCGGACCCAGTCTCAGTTCCAGTCCCAGTCTCAGTCCCAGTCCCGGTCCCACTCCCAGTCCCAGTCCCAGTCCCGGTCCCAGTCCCAGTCCCAGCCCCGGACCCAGTCTCAGTTCCAGTCCCAGTCTCAGTCCCAGTCCCAGTCCCAGTCCCAGTCCCAGTGCCAGTCCCAGTCCAGTCCTGGTCCTAATCCCAGTCCCAGTCCCAGTCCCAGTCGCGGTCCCACTCCCAGTCCTGCTCCCAGTCCCATCCACAGCAGCGCTGCCCCCCGAGGGCGGCTCTGGCCCCCAGCCCGTGCCGGCAGCCCCCCTCCCCCGGCTCCGGGTCGCCCTTGGCCCCTCGCACACGGGAAGGTTCAGCGCTGTTCAGGGCACAGCAGAGCCCGCAGAGCACAGACATCGCAGCGCGTAGTGCCCTTCTGCAGCCGGGCACAGCAGAGCCCGCAGAGCACAGACATCGCAGCGGGTTTTCTGGGTATCCTTTCAGATTATCGCTACCCACAGACACTTTCTGTTCGGGATTCTTTGTGTCAGACGAATATTCCAGAGCTGAACTGCTCAGCCGACGGCGGCCGGCCGCAGCAGCGCAGCCTGCGGGATTTGTGCTGCCCTGCGCTGCCCTGCGCTGCCCTGCAGCGGTACAGAAACACTCCCAGATCCGCACGGGAATGGCCCGCGGTGCCGCTGCTGGCAGCCCTGCAGGCGAGGGCAGCCAGGCCGAGATAAACGCACATTGGAAGGAGCGCCCAGACAGCACGCACCCTCCCTGGCTCCCAGCACGCCTGGAAAAGCAGAGTTCAGCCGGGGCCGGTCTCAGCTGCCTCTGCCCCTCACTGCCCGAGCATCCCTCGCTACTCGCAGAGCTTCCCACACCGCCAGCGCTGCCACCCCAAAACCAGCGCTGCCACCCCAAAACCAGCCCGACGGTCACCCCGCAGCAGCCCAGCCCAGGAGCTCGGGGAGCTCCGTGCTGGGCTGGGGCACAGCCCGTACCTGCCTGCGCCCGCGGGGCAGCGTGCCCACCGTGCTGGCCAAGTGCTGCATCCTCCTGCCGTCCGCGGGGCCGGGGCCGGGGCTGGGCTGCAGCAGCCGCCGCAGGGCCATGGCCGGGCAGGGAGCGCTGTGCCGGGGCCGGGGAGCGCCGGGGGCTCAGGGGAGCGCTGTGCCGGGGCTCAGGGTGAATGCTGTGCCGTCCCGGGGCTGGGGAGCGCTGTGCCGGGGCCGGGGAGCGCCGGGGGCTCAGGGGAGCGCTGTCCCGGGGCTGGGGAGCGCTGTGCCGGGGCTCAGGGTGAATGCTGTGCCCTCCCGGGGCTCAGGGTGAGCGCTGTCCCCGGGCTCAGGGTGAATGCTGTGCCCTCCCGGGGCTCAGGGTGAGCGCTGTCCCCGGGCTCAGGGTGAATGCTGTGCCGTCCCGGGGCCCAGGGTGAGCGCTCCCAGGGTGCGGGAGCGGAAGGGCCGCCACGTGATCCGTGGTTTAGGTGCGACTTACACAAATCCCTCCTAGCAGAGCCCCAGGCTCTCGGTGTGCCTTGTGCTCACACGGGAGTTAAGAATCGGGCTTGGCAGTTACGGAAATCTGATTAATTTTTCCGTTCCTGCACACAGTTCTCACCAGCTGCTGCTGCTCTGCCAGGATTTGTCCTCGCAGCCCTGCCTGCCTCGGGCACGCACCTGACCTCAACCTGTCCATACTCTGACTTGCTCGGCATCCCTGGCATCCCTCAGCTCACCTCTTGGCAAAGATGGGAGAGTAACACCGCCCTTGGCTAATGGTGTCAGTGCAGGAGCTCAGCTGCAGAGGGAAGCAGGAGCTGAAGGCCAGGAGCAGAGGCTGAAGGGTGGCAGAGCGAGGGCAGGGCAATGCCCTCAGCCAGCACTCGGGTCTGGTGTGGAACAAGGCACAGCAGCTCGGGGACACACAGCAAAGCCCGTGCAGAGTCTGCAGGACAGGGCGCAGGGGGCTGCTGTGGCAGAGCTGGGACAGGCATGGTGCCAAGGAGAGCCCTGGCCAGATGTCATCCCTGCACCTTTCCAGGATGGCCAGAGCTCCAGGAAGGTTTATGACTCTGAGGATGGGTGTCCATGGAGCAGGTGCCTGACATTTGCTGGTGCAGATGAGCTCTTAGTGCCAGGAAAGCATTGGGATGGAGCCTCCCCCACTCCAGGGGACCCCCTCGTTGCCCCGGATGGCTGAAGTGTCAGTACAAACCCATCCTAAAGGTTCATCCCTCAAAAACCCGGCACCTCACGGAAGAAACAGCCTGCCAGGAAACTTCTGGTCCTCCCACCTGGAGGAGGGCTGGTGGCTGGTCTGTGCCTGTGCCTCTCCTGGCAGACAGACAGCGACAGGGAAGTGCTGCACACAGCAGCACCACAACAACGGATTCAGATGTCTGTCCTTCACCTCCCAGTTCCTTGGGAGAACCCCTCCGGGTTAAGGGGAAGAAAAAAGATGCTCAAAAAGCACAGCAGGCCATGGGGAAAGCTCTCTCTCTCTTCCTGAGAAAAATATCTGCGCCCCCGTGTGTCATCTGCTCACTTGCCGAGGCGCAGGGACCAGCGCGAGTGACTCAAAGCCTCTTCCCCTTTTCCTGCTCACGGTCACCCCGCTGAGTGCTTGAAAACAGAGCGCGTTTCGCTTCCTCCGGCAGCCCTTTCTGACGTTCCTGAAACCCAGTGACTCATCTGCAAACAAGCCGAGGGCAGAAATAAACGACACCTCTCATCAGAGGTGTCACAAAGCAGGACCTCGGTGCGAGCTGCCCCAGCAGCCCCGTTACCCTGCGCTGCTCTGCGCCCCGCACAGCCACGCTCCCCTCGGCCCCGCCAGGAGCCCCTCAGCCCCGGCAGGAGCCCCTGAACCCCGGCAGGAGCCCCTCAGCCCCGGCAGGCACCTCTGAACCCCGGCAGGCACTCCTGAACCCCGGCAGGAGCCCCTGACCCCCGGCAGGAGCCCCTCAGCCCCGGCAGGCACCCCTGAACCCCGGCAGGCACCTCTGAACCCCGGCAGGAGCCCCTGACCCCCGGCAGGCACCCCTGACCCCCGGCAGGCACCTCTGAACCCCGGCAGGAGCCTCTGACCCTCGGCAGGCGCCTCTGAACCCCGGCAGGAGCCCCTGAACCACGGCAGGCACTCCACACCCCCGACACGCATCCCTCACCCCCGACATGCATCCCTCATCCCCGGCAGGCACCCCTCACCCCCGTCTCGCACCCCGCACCACAGCAGACACCCCCACACCCCCAGCACTCACCCCTCCGGCCCACCTGCCCCTCCCCGGCAGGGCTCGGAGGTGCTCGGGGGCAGAGCGGGGCCCGGCAGGGCTCGGAGGTGCTCGGGGGCAGAGCGGGGCCCGGCAGGGCTCGGAGCAGCTCGGAGGCAGAGCGGGGCCCGGCAGGGCTCTCCCGTGTCCGGGCATCTCGCACGGATGCCCTGGCCCAGCCTCCTCGCTGGCACGGCGCTGGTTCGGTGTCAGGGCTGGAGCGATGGTTCCCCTTCTTCCAGGGCCGCGCCCGGTCCGGCCCGGCCTTGAGCGCTGCCAGGGATGGAACACTCCATCCCTGCATCCAGAGGCTGCAGCGCCCGCAGGCTGGCTGCCCACGGCGCCTTACCCCGACGGAAGGAAGGAGGCATCCATCCTCTGCGGGACACGAGCCCTCGGGGCTCAGGAGCTGGCTCCCCTCCTCAGCTGCCCAGCGTGCACCAGGGGCTGCCGGGGAGGCGATTTACTGAACAATAAGCAGGTGGGGAATCAGCCCTGTCTCTTTCCCAGCTCGGCAGGGCCGGGGCAGCGCGTCCCGGGCAGAAGCAGCGCCCGCTCCGCCCGAGAGCGCTGGAAGAGAAATGCCTCCGGGAGCAGAAATGCCTCCGGCTGCTGCCAGAGCAGCTCTCCGCTGCCGGGGGACGGCAGCCGGTGCTCAGCCATGAGCCGCTGGTCCGTCGGGACCCCGGCTGCCCGGCCACAGCAGCGCCGGGACAATGACACCTTCCTGGCATGTGCAGGAGCCTGAGAGTCCGCGAGTGACTGCTACAATACAAAGGTGTTTTTAAGGGGGAAAAAAAAAACACCAAACCCCCCCAGAGTATCCTTCATAAGCCACTGAAGTTTCTTGGGTCACAGCATGGCAGATTTCATTTTGACGTGCCTTAAGTTAAAAGGAAGTCTGACTTAAATTCCCGGATTATGGCTATGTCAGGGGAATTTTCAAGCATGCACACTCCAGAACGGAGTGCTCGGGGTGAGCTGGTGCCACTCAGATTTGCACCACTGAAAATCTCAGTGGCTGGAAGAGCAGGATCAGGGGGTGCTGTATGAAAGGGAGCTCGCTCACACTGCTGTGGGTGCAAGAGCCACGAGGGAAGGGATCTACAGGTTCACACAGGCTGAACCCTTCTCCCCTCACACGATGAACATAACAGTTCCACAGGAACACAAGGGCAGAGTATGCTGAGTTTATTAAAATTGCCACGTTTTCCCAAATCCGCATACAAAATACAACAGCTAAACCATCATTTACATCCAAGCAGCTGCAATATCAAGCAATAACTTTAGCAATAGTTTTAAAAATAACTCTGCAGTGTACACAGATCAGATGTTTCACAACACTAGGGTTGAAGTTAGCACTGCACTGCTACACTTAGTCCAGAAATATTACAGCGTTCCAGATAAAATACTCACGCTTCTTTTAAAAACAGACAACTGAGGAAGTGGTTTGTAGATTGACAAAACATGACACGTTTTTCTTAGGGACTGAGAATCACAGCAGGCTTAGACACAATGTCATAGCTACATTCAAAACACATCTGGTCCATTTATGCCAAAAATACATTCAGTGTAAGTTACAATTTATTGCACATTTCTTATATTCTGTAGAAATATATCGTACCTCAATGCTTATTCCCTGCACATTCATAAATATTGCCCTGCCCATTAGAGCAGAGCATGGACATCTTTCCCAAAAAGCTTTGGGGGGCTGGGGTCCCACAGCCTGTGGGGATGGTCCCTGGAATCCCAGACACAGCCAAGGCAGGGGAGGGGACATGTTTGCAGCGCTGCTGGGGGCACCCAGGTGCTGGCCCAGGGCTCCCCACGGACACCCCAAGTGTCACAGACCCCAGTGACCCGAGCAGGGGCTTTGAGCCGTACCCTCACCAGCACACAGAGTTGTGCCTGTCCCCCCTGCACCCTCAGGAGGTGACCAGCGTGTGCCCACCTGTGCCCCCCTGCCCCCAGCAGCACCCCCAGTGCCACCCTGGCCCTGTCCTGTGACACGGGAGCTCCGGGGATGAGAGGAACTTGCCCTGCCCAAAGCCCAGACCCCCAGCAGGGACTGGGCACACTTCCAAACCCATTCATTTATCATTCCTGAATCTAGTGCCAAGCAAAGAAGGGACACAGCAATTACTAAAATATTGTAGGACTCTTCATGGTGTCACGTGAGGGAATGAGCTTGATTAAGTGCAAATTATAAAAGTAGGGAAGTGCAGAAGAGATTACAGACTGAATTTCTAAAGGAGTGTGTGGGGGCAGCAGTTCAAGTAACATGAAAAAAAAATAGGTGTTACAGGAAACATTAATTAACTTTCCCTTTCAGTACATAATCCCTAGATTAAACTTTAGATTGTTATTAGAAGCAAATTATAAAATATTGGTAATTCCCCCCAGTTAGAAGCATCAATTAGGAGAAGCTGAATGTGGTAACAGGTTTTGAGCATCCTTGACCTTGAAAATTTTGATGAGCTTAAGAACTTTTGCTTTAAGTGAACATTACCAGGAGCTTTGTGACCTCTGAGGAAACCTAAGCCTCCCTAAACTGCACAGAAGTGTCTTGGCATAACCTCTGTGTTTAAATTAGAACAGGACAAACCCACATGGAGGGGAAAGGCCACTAAAACAAGGGTTCTTTGGAGCTTTTCTGAAGTGTAGAGTTTACAAACATTTCAGAGCTCAGTACAACAACATCAGCCCCTTGGCTCAGTTACGCTCAACTCCAATTCATCAAAATGTACATTCATCTCCCAACAACAAAAGAGAAAAGAAAACCAGAGCAAAAATACTGAGTTGGGTGAAAAGCCAGGGCAAACAGACCAGAATGTCTGATGCCAAGAGATATGTCCAGGGAAAAGGTTAAAGCACT